TATGTCATAGATTGGTAAGATCACGAAAACGATCCGTTGATTAATTGCCGATAACTTGATATTTTCTTATACCTCAGTTCCTGCTCTTTTCTTTTTGTGCATGTAAGATCAATTTCAAGCTTGTAAGAAATTCGTTATGTTGTCTACTGTGTGCGAAGATATCTGAAATGTTTTTACATTAGGTGACTTTAAGTGTAAATTACATGAGTTAGTCTTATCGCTTATTGACGTTATTTCCTTTACCTATATGCATTAGCTTTTGATTCGTTCATGCTATAAAGTTAATATAAATGATACTGGTAGCAACTATACGCAAATAATCGTTTCATATATTTAATAAGAAATGTCTATAGTTTTGGACTGTATGATCCTTGATGTCCATTCGATCAGCTTACCTTCAAGATGTGAATATCAGGCAATAGTGTCAGTGCTTTATTTACATAATTAAATTAAAAATTTTGATTATCTTTATGGCCGCGATATGCAAAAGATATGGGCAGCAATGATGGAGTTGGAAGACAAGTCGTAGATAGCGAATGTCAGATGGTTTATACTCATATCATCATCCCCAATTGTTATGACTAATGCTAATTAAACAGTCTCATTTTACTTTATTAAACTACTTAAACATAGGATATACGATTTTGTAATATAATTTAATTACAAATCGTGATACAAAAGAGAGAAATATGGTAACCGGTCAGTGGTCAACTTATATACTGAAAGTGAATTCAATGATGACTCTACACTACGTTTGTCGGTGTTCTGTAAGCCAAGCAAAGAGATCTTCCTGCCCGAGTTACCAATTCGATATATCAGCTCCATAGTTAAGCTAATAAAATTTTCATAACAAGAAAGCAGAAATGAGCTGCATACGTGTAGATTACTACGAGTAGAATCATCTCTGCTAACTAATTGATGCCGACTTACTTATATCTTATAATTTACAGTACGAATACGAGTAACAATCATTTTAAGACTTCTAAATGCACGATACAAAGCAATATTACTCTACTTAGTGAAATTAATCTTATTATTAGATACTTTTTCTAGATAGATTTAGCCCTTTCATGGAAAATGCAGGTAAAATTTTGCATTCATTTTCATCATCAACGAAGTAATTATTACATCGATTGATTAACTTATTAGTTTTAAGTTTTATATTTATTGCTCTAATTACCTAGATAGTGCCACATTGGCCATTCTTTCCATATTAGAGATGTTTCGAGCCTAGAGCTTCTTGTAATCAATTAATCCACAATCTCGGCTTTAATTATAATTACAAGATGACGTAACTGCTATATGAATATTATTACGCACGCGTATTTAAAATGGATGCTAAGGCCTTGAGCAGACATCGATCCTGACCTGCAGTGGCTATATTAATTAAATAGCGCTCTACCATATTTATTCTGCTCGGCATTCGATAACCTCCAATGTGCATCAAAGTGGCTGCATTGATCTTAAGTTAACTTTCTCAGTTTTTATTCTTTATTGATCGACGTTTAGGACATTGAAATTGCTCATTTTATTATAAATAAAGTCAGCTTTAGTCGCTGTTTGAAATGGATAAAACGTAAGTAAACATTTTAGGAAGCAGTTATCATCAATTTCTACTTTGTACTTGATAACTTGTTACGAAATGGCTGGTAAGACTCCACTCCATTAATTAGCATCTCTATCGGCTTGTCTGCAGTCAATATATGTACTTGCTAAGAGTAAGGTGTTAAAGTCTTTATATAAATTATCATCTTAAATTGAATTACCTATAAATGGACTCACGAAAATAACAAGTTGTGATTATTAAAAGTAGTGAAATCTACAGTAGACTGGTTACTGATCACTTGAATAGTCAGATAAACTTAGTATTTATCAAATTTATCATACCACAATCTCTTCTAGAGCTAAACTTCAGAACTTCAATTTTATTGAAATGTCCATCAGTTAAATCGTACAGCTAATCTATATAAACATCTACGAGCTCTGCTTAGATAACTTTATTAAACCATTTCGATTATCTACGTAAATGTGCCTCAAAACATAGATCAAAAAGTGCTAATATCGGCGAATTCCAAACTACGCTTTAACGTTTTAATTATCTTCCAAATACTACGCTATAGTTTTTCTATAAAATTCGTATAATTCGATGTTCTGCTATAATAAAATAAAATTAAGATAGATAGCAAACGAATAAGTATCTACGGTACAAGTTTACTAGCTAACAACTATCAGTTACTTTCGTTAATTTATGCTGCATATTATTATAATATCTAATCTGTAAGAATTTCCCTTAAGTTACCGTAAATTAGCAGCTGATAAACTACTTCTTTAATTTCTTATTATCTACTGTCGTCAGGAATATCGACGTCACATAGCATCATGAATTTTAAACAATCAGACTCGATTTAGGTATAAAGTGTAGATAGATCATTAACCTGCAAAGCGATCTACGTACATATTATCCTGCTGTCTCGTTATCATTATAATACAATGAAAATATGTTTAATCCATTAACTTTTATCCATTTGTAAGTGATCTAGACTGCAATTATAGCGACTAAGATCGAAATAGATAATTTCTGCTTATTAAATACGTCAATTCCTATTTTTATCTGATTGAGATGTGATCTTTGCCCAGATACCATTTTGTTTCATACTAATATAGACTTTTGCTAATTTCTGAAAATTTAAAGCAAAATTTAGTGAATTCGACCCATAATAGCAGAATATAAGTGAAAAAGAATGCTATAAGTTCTACACATAACAATAACTGTTAATAGTGCCCTAGTTTATTAAGGAATTAAAGTTCAAGTAATATAAATTAAGACATTGCCGATATGTCTACTACAGAAATTACATTAATCTTGTATTAAAGTACTATCAATTTTTACCATTTTTATACAAATCTAATAATTATTGTCTATTAAATTATTACAAGCGTTGTAAGAACATTCGAAATTTTTCTTTACAATGGCGAAACTGTGCGAGTTAATAATCCAGATTCACGTAAGCGATACTTGCTAGTAATTTACAACTATATTTGCTGATATAACGTTTATACATTATCGTCTTTATGTCTAATCATTAAAACTATCTTCAACACCGCAGTGCAAATAATCAAAATACGTATATCTCTTTTTACATAACGATAGCTGCACAACGCTATTTTAACCTGATTATCAAAGATATTGGCGCAGAATGGAAAGACTTAGCTAGAGTCCTAGATTTTGATCAGACCCAAATTAAAACTATTAAAGCCAATAATCCTCTCGATGTCAATGACCAATGTGCGGAGATGTTACATGTACAACATAATACGAAAGGGAAAAGTTTCAACAAGTTAGAGCTAATTAAAGCTCTCTATGAAGCTAATTTAGCTGCAGTTGCAGAAAAGATAAACATCGATCCGGATGAGATAACCCAAGATCCTGGTAAATATCGTCATTGTTTAATATTTTTACTTGACGTAGAAAATTGTTAATTAACTACTATACTAATATGAATATTAGAGTTATTGCATCATGAATTAAGATTAGTATCGACACAGCAGTAGAGTTGATCACTAGAATAACTAATAGTTACAGTATAATGAAATTAATTAATGAGAGATAAATATGTATAATTACTACTTGAAATTTAAAACCTATATGTAGTGAGAGCCAGCAAGCATTAAACAGTAATAAAGATCAAGGTCAAGTACATAAAATTGTTCATTTAAAATAACTAGAATATATTCAGTGAAAGAGTAAGACATATATCATATTGTATAAATGCTACAGAATTGACAAAATCCTTTTAGTTATAAATGTCACAAAGACACGATATCGCAATGTATCAAAGTCAAAGGCATGAAATTAGGGATTTAAACAGATAGATTATAATTAACAAAAAGTGCAATCAAGGCTCAATGTAACAGAATTAACTAGTGTAATACTTAGAGAAGTTACAACAGAAAGAAATGATAAGTTAATAGTTTAGTTAATATAGATTGTTCTGCTATGATTTGATTTTATAAATGCACATATAACAATGTGCACTTTTACTTTGAAAAAAAATTTGTACTAAAAGTTATCATAGCTAAACAAACTAACTTACATTACGATTACTTAATTAATGTTCTATTCTACTTAAAATTACTGCATTAGCAAGATTAAACTAGCTATAAGTAATTGGCCGCTACCGCTAACTTTATCAAGCCTACATAGCATGATGCTTATGTTATAAACCTGCAATAAGAATCAGGTTATCAACTAATTACATAATTTCCTTTTGATTTTTTCTATTGTATAGGTAATAGTGGATCAAAAATTAATCGTCAGCAGAGTACTGGTATGATAAATTATATAACAAGTACTAGCAGCGTCCTAGTAGACATTTTTAGCTTTACGTATTGTAATACATGAATCTATGATTTAAAGTCCATCAATTAGATAAATGCTATTACTAATCAAATGTTGCAGATACTACCGAATATCTCTTTGATGTGGCAGATAAACTACAAGAAGATTGGATTAAATTAGTACCAAGGTTGGATCGAGAAGGAAAGATTGATATTAAAAAGATTCAAAATAAGAGTAACGACCACTTTGATCGTGGTTTTGAATTTTTGGATAAATGGCATGGAATATATGGTAAATCTGCTACCAAAAATAAATTAAAAGCGGCGCTAAAAGTTATTAAGAGGGCTGATGTCGCAGACGAGATTGGTATTTAAATTAATCTAATATAACGTAAAACTCACTATGAATTTATATTCGTTTTATAAGGAATATCAAATTACAATAAACTGTGATATCGTGTCACTATCACGGAAAACAATTTATAATGTACTAGTATTAGATTATATTGATGTATAAAATATTACCAGATATTTAATTTTTAGTCATTTAGAGCATATACTAGGCATATTATCCATGTAGTGTATTACAGCTGTCGATTAAAGTTGGTTAAAAGAGGTTATTCTTTATTCCAGACAACACCATAACCGGAGGCCAAAGTACCATGGCAGTCTCGTCGGCTCCGAATACAGCTACTACAATTGACAGCTCGATTAAACCTGCAATAACTACTGCTGAACAAGGTAGTTAATATATTGTTTCCATATATAAGTCAATTTAGGATTCTTGCTATTTAGTATATCAAGTATTAGTTTTAAAAGCGCTGTAAAATAAACTTTCTAGCAAGTTCTTCAAGGTAGCTTTTCACAAAGTTTACTATACCCATTATTCCAGAGTGATATAGTCATTCACTGAATCATTCATACTTAGAATAATAAAGGATAGCAAACAAAGTTCAACTAGGTAGATATCCCATCAGTAAGTTGATTGTAGGTCATTGATTGATAGACAAGTCGTATGATACTTTAAATAATTATGTATTAGGCAAGTCTATTGATTTTACTAACCTTGATCATTAGTCATATTCAAGTATGTAATTTATTTTGTAGTGGTATTTCTACAACCTTAACGTATAGCCTATTTTATGCATTTGAGATAATTTTACGAGAAGATAAAATTTACCTTATATTAGACTAGTTGATAGAATCCTTACCTGCAGTAATTCTATATCTAACTACTTGAAGGAATTTATAAGTTTGCTTAACTAAAAAACATATTGTGTTTATGCATACTGTATCCGAGTATGCTTTCTATCAATACTAATCCAGAATATTAAACCTGTTGTATGAATTCTGATCAAGGTGGAAGAGCTACGGATCCCATAAAAGATGGTAAATTAGTAATAGTCATCTGCTTATTTTAATTACTTTCTTGCAACATACATTAGCTTAATGCTCAGATTTGATAGTCAATCATATATACCGTTGATTATGTCCTTAATTATTTACCTATATTTGCTATGGATTTTAACAATAACATTTGATAAATGATATGTTACTTATTAAGATTTATTTATTTACAATACTACATCCTCACTAAGTATCAAATTTGTAGCTAAGTTATTAAGTTGCTTTAATCCCGATTAATTCATGGCCACAGTATATGTAGCATAGAAGAATTCTTATCAAGATACCACACCTGTCGCATTCAAGTATTAATACCGTAGTTTAATACCAACATAGACTACATAAACTAGGCTACACTATTGCCAACGATGTTCGGTATTTCGGATCACATACAGATATTAATAAGTTAGGCTAGAAATTTTAGTAATGAAAATGAATCCATGATAATTACAGCGAAATTACACATTTACTTCAATGCTTTGATGTTCTATATAGAGGGTAGAAGGCGCGAAATCTTCATGTATTTAGCTGATAGAATAAAATCAAAGAAATTAAAAGAATTTGGTCGAAAATTGAAATTAAATCCTAATGATGTTGATGACATAACCGATACGAACGATGTCAGATTTGACAAGTGTATTCATCTGTTGGAAACATGGTATACTACATTTGCTTCAGAAGCGACATTTGATGTATTACTATCAGTTTTGAAAAGTTGCAAAGAGACATTAATAGCCGATGAATTAAAAAAAAATTAATTTTGCTGATGCCAAAATTATCACTACGTAATGATTGTATGAATGGAATTGGAAAGATAAATTATAAACTTAGAAAGGCGACCGGGCAATGTTATGTGCATAAATTTTACTGGTGGAATGGCTACTCTAGAAAATTTTGATTTAGTATAATTAAATTATGGCTTTACAAACCATTTCATTCCTTACATTTTTAGAATGATTTTATACTTACTACTTCATGCTGCATTGTCATAACATTTTCTACTGGATTAAAGTTCGATCTTTGATGCTTAGAATGAAGAAATTGATGACTGAGAAAGTTTCTTGTGCTTACACCTACTTGTGAAATACCATTCATTATTTTAATTTAGAAAATTAATTCATGTTGAAGTTTATTGACGTTTTCCAAGTTATTTTACCTTTGCTTGTGAAATCTATATAACAGATCTTTTACAGCCATTATTTTATCACGATAGGATCATTTATTACAAATGAACACAGGTAAAGAGAAATTAGTTTAACACCTACATCTTGTAATTAATGGTATATTTTTATATAAGATGTCTGTAAAGTGCCTTAGTTTGACAGGCTGTTCGATGCAACATTTGCCATACTTTTGCTTGCTTTAAGGAAGTATTACTTCTGTGTCGATTATGTATTGTTTTAATCAATTTCTTAATGAAAACGATTTCATGGCATCAAATAAATTAACATGTATTTATTTTACTCAGAATAGAACTGTCGTAGATTTAATTACATTGATAATACATTGTTTATATGAGACTTAAAATACAAGTAGAAGAGAAATAAATACTTCTTTACCTATAACACTAATGCATTGTCTATATCAGATTTTATGCGTATGTAGAGGAGAAATAAATATCTTAGCATGCTTATTAAACTAACAGGGAATAGATAGATTGCAGAAAGGAAATAGAGTACAAAAAACTGCTACCTTATGGAATAGAAAACCGTGAAAAGTATTTCTTGAAAATTTTATTACTTTCCATAATTACTGGTACTCTTTCTATTCTGACTGCTCGTTCTAAAGTTGAATGACGAATCAAAATCGTAAATAGCAATGTCACAGCTAATTTATGTCTTTGTAATGTACAATTATTGTTCAGAATATTATAGTAATACTTCTGTAAGCGTATTACATAATTACTAAGGGTATACATGATCATCCAAAGCGTTTATGCACCATATAAAACATATACAATATATCAATAATAATATCTATTTTCTATAATGTATGTTCTACTTATTGTTTTGGAATGATAGCTTATGCTTATATTGCAGTGTCTGCGTAAATTATTAGCTAAGAATTTGCTTCAAGTCTTTATATACTTCTGTCCTTCTCCTTCAGGTTTAGATCGATTTTGCTATTTGACTAATATTAGTGAAATTTTTGTAATGCTCCTTATTCTCGTACGCGTGTTACAATATATATTATCAAAAAGACCGTCTAAGTCCTAGCAACTACACTAAAGATAATTTATGTGCTGCTTTTCAATTTTATTAATTATATAGTCTGCAACAGATATTGGAAAGTATGATGCTGAGCTGTAAAGAATGATAAAGTATTTCAATAGTCGCTTATAGGGCGGTAAATCCGAGTTATTAGTAGTATTGATCAAGATAGTTCAGTCACTGAAACGTATAGATTATTTGCCTTATAAAAAAGTAGTGTGTGAGGTAAAGTAGTTTTTGTATGAATGTATAATACACAATAACTTTGGTACTGGATACAAGTAATTTGTAAAAGATTTATTTATGCTTGATTTAAATTACGCTGGAAATAATACTTTTATATTAACTGAAATAAATGGCCGCAATTGTAATTCACAATTATCTAGTACTGCCGAAACCAAACATACTACAGCATATCAACTCATGTAAAAATATTGAATTTCAGTATCTATGTACGATATCCGTATATTGTAATGAAATTGAATTGCATAATTAAAAATGGATATCTTAAAATTTATAAGTAATTATCATCAACTATTACGTTAACTAATTTTTTGTGCAATTGAATAACATGACTATACTGTAGTTAACGACAGCAGTTTTACTTGTTAAGTATAACTTTTCCCTACTAACAGAAAGTACATCAAAGCTTGTAATAGTCGATACAGTCGGCTAGACAAATAACATCACATACTGCTACAATAATTATAAAGGCGTTATGACTTAACACATCGAAATTTAATTTGCTAAATTTATAAATTTCTTCCTGACATTTACCTTTATTTGATAAATGTTTCGACTAATGTACTTATAAATTTTAGTAACATAGAAAACTTATCAGTTCATAACACTTTGTTTATTCAGCAATCGGCGAAATTAAGCATTTAGCTTTATGAAAGATGCGAAGTTATGAATTCTGATATGAGGGTAGCGCCTTCATCTTGCCACATGGTGACATGGTCACCTTTTCCTTCAATAACTTCAACGTTTCCATTGCATTGTTCTTGTTGTCCGTAGTCTTTACCTTGGCTCTCACCGATACTATCCCTACTTGATGATGTTACCATTAATACGTTACCGTTGAATTTGGTAGATGGTTCATATTTACCACTAGCTTGAGTTAAATTGACAAATGATCTAGCGCCCCAAGCTACATGCTCTCGATCAATGTCGGCAATCTTTTCAGAAATAGCTGACGTAATATGATCCAGTTTATCTTTAATTGTTGGAAACTTCAATAGCTTTTCTATTGCCTCTCCGTGATATAAGTTAGGAATAAATAACCTGGCATAGTGAAATAGTGCTTCAGCATCGTATTGTTCTTGTGTGACTACTCCTAAACGTTCCCGATAGATATTGAAGCGTTCTTTAGTATAACAGAATGAGCCATCAATCATGTGCATCTTATCAAGATTATCTTTATTTTCCCGTTGTAACTGTAACGCAACTTCGTGAGCGGCAGTACAACCAAATGAATAACCGCAGATACGATATGGGCCTTGATTTTGAACTTCCTTAATTTTCTGTAGGTAAAATGATGCTAATCCTTCTATCGTTTCTGTTGGCGCATCTGGTGTTAATTGGATACCGTAAGCTGGAATCTTTAATTTACTAGCTACTTCCTTAAATCGCTCCACAGATCCTTCGATCGGATGGAAAATGAAAATAGGTGTTTCATTTGATTCTACTTCATTCAATCGAACTACTGTGCCTAATTTAATTTGTTCCTTTGTCGGTAATTCGTTAGCTTGGACTCCAGGCATAGCGTTTACATCTTCTTGACTGTCATTACCGCCAGCTTCCTCTGTACTCTGTGATGCTATAGTAATATTTCTCAACTTATTCATAGTTAGCTGTCGAACTTCTTGTATTGGCAATGGTGTATTAAAATCTCTTTCTAAAATTTGTCTAATCTCTACACCCATCAAGGAATCCAATCCCAGATCTGATAACGTAGAGTCTTGGCCTACAGTTGATGGATCCTTAATACCTAAAATATTAGCAACACTTTTAACTAAATCTTCGGATGTCAGTTGATCACCTCCTCCTGTGGCACTTTCACGAGTTGGTTGAACAAAGCTGGATACCACTGGATGCTTACTGATTAAAAACTTCTCCATCATATCTAAGCATGAGTGAATACGTTGTGGTAACGTACCACATATTACAGTTGTATTACTAGCTTTCATGCTTTCGATAACCATCCCAACATCATCGACTGCTCCCCATTGAATAGCTAATGCTGGTAAATTCTCATGATGTCGTCTCTCACAAATACGTTCCATAGCTGAATTTGCATAACCATAATTCGCTTGGCCAGCGTTACCACGACCACAACTCACCGATGAGAAAATTACAAACCATTCCAAACCATCACATCTCTTTCGTGTTACCCGATCTAAATGAATAGTGCCATCGACTTTAGGTTTAGCCACCTCATCAAATAATTCCTTTGTTTGGTTCTCCAAAAATCCATCACGTAGTACTGCTGCTAAATGAAATATACCACCAACTGGACCTAATTCTTCTGCTTGTTTAATTAATTCTTCGGTACTTTCAATCGATGTTACATTGCATGTAGAGACAGATACTTTAATACCTTTCTTTCTCCAATATTTCACTCGACGAGCTTGATAACCATTTCGAATACCGGATCTACTAGTTAATACAAGTTTTTCTGCTCCGCGATCTACTAACCATTGTGCCAGTTCTAGACCGAATCCACCCAAACCACCGGTAACGATATAACTTTTATGCGGATTACAATAGCAACGAGATATAGTCTTTAAACTTACAGGCTTACTTATGGGATCATCTTCTTCACGCACTTGTAGAACAACTTTGCCAATGTGTTTACCAGCAGCCATATATCGGAATGCGCCTTCTAAGTCGTTTCGATTAAATACGACATTGTTTAATGGTTGGACTACACCACTTTTTATGCCCTCTAATATCATTCGGTGTACCATCGGCCATTCCTTGTTTTCACCGTCAATTAAAGCATCCAGCAAAATTCCATGAAACGATACATTACGTAAAAATAGAGCCATACCTAATGCTGAATTATTAGATAAATCGTATTTTCCAATTTCCAAGAATCGACCATGACGAGCTACTACTCGTACACTTGCTTGTAGTTTTTCTTCGGCTAATGAATTCAATACTACATCAACACCACGTCCATTGGTAGCTTCCATTACCAATTTTTCAAATGTTAAATTACGGGAATTACCGATATTTTCTCTGCATAATTTCGGGAACTTCTTTAATAAAAATTCTACCTTTTGTTCTGTACCTACTGTGGTAAAAACTGTGCATCCTTTCGATAAAGCTATAGCAATAGCAGCCTGACCTACACCACCAGCACCTGAATGAATCAATACAGATTCGCCATCTTTTAATTGACCTCGTGTAATTAGGGAATAATATGCTGTCGCATATACTACTGGTACAGTAGCTGCATCGCGTAGACTCCATGAATCAGGAATAGGGAATGTACAATTTTTCTTCATGACAATATTAGTCGCTAAACCCTTAGCATTGACGAATCCCATTACCCGGTTGCCCTTTTCGTCTTTACCTGACCATTCCAAACCTAATACACAATCTTGTGAAGCTAAATCGCCTGGTAGTGCATCTGGAGGTAATTTACCTGCAGCCAACATAATATCTCGGAAATTTAATGGTGCGTAGTAGATATAATATGAACCTTCATCACTTTTTGGTTGAGCATGCTTTGATGAAGCGAACCATCGTAATGATGATAAATCACCACGAGTTACAACGTTCACATATGCTTGTTCATTAGTCAATTCAGAAGATTCACCTTTACGTACAAATAAATGACGGAATGATCCTAATTTTCCATTACGATGAATATTCATAGCAAGATCAAGTCGTTGAATATTTTTCATTTCTTGAGTTAACTTTATATCAGGACTGGAGCCATTTAGCTGAGCGTTAAATACACAGCGAATATTTTCACCGCCAGGTTCTTTACGTAAGCAATTAGTCATACCTACAATACCTGATGTACTATTGCGATCACTTAATAACCAAATCTTTTGGTTATTCTTATTATTTGAAATGAATTTTTTCAATTCATCAACCCAATCAAAATTCTGATTACTGATGTTTAGTATGGTTGGCGAATTGACAACGTTTCTAGGATTATCTAGGCAGCAGAGGAATAGTGTTGATAGTAGGCCGTCACTCTTCTTACCAACAACATTGAATCCTCCGGCTTCTAAAATTTTCACCCATTCATCTTCTGATAACATATTATGAACTGGTTCATTCTTATCACGCCATGCTTTATCATTTACTCCGAATATAGATAGTACTGTCGCAAAACTACGAGTGCATTCATGTAAAAGAAAGAATCCACCTTCTTTCAGCATTTTTGCAGCCATTGATACTTGTTCTTCCGCTTTCAAATTTTCATGTACTGTAGCATAGTTACTTACAACTAAATGAGACGATTTTTTTAAATTTCTTTCAATCGATGATTTGCCGTTAAGGTTAACGATGGAGATGTCGTTAAATTTTTCTGCTTCCGGCTGAAGTTGAGATTCATCATTTCCGTTACCTACTAGAGCTGTATAACTGACGTTCGATTCTGGTTGTGAAAGAAGGACCGGTAATACACGTCTAAACAGTTGACCATGAGTAGCACCAATTTCTGCTACTTTCAAGGGAGAATGAAGTATATTTTCGAAAGCTACATCAACCGATGTTTTCAGGTATCTGTCAGTTAGCAACGCACCACTAAGGACGTCATCGGTGAATAATTTTTTGTTCTCCCATAATATTTCAGCAACTGATTCACTAAATGTATTGTCAGGTTTCAATTCGCATATTTTATTCAATAAGCTAAATATACCATGATCTTGACTGTCCAAGTAAGCTTCTATCTTATCATTGGCAAGATTTTGTCGTGCTTTCGTGTCTTGTTGCAATGCAATCAAATTCTTAACCGCATTAGGGACAACGTGACTATTAAATTTCTGACTAAGTTCTCCGTATTTCATTGCAGCATATTCTTCAATATCTGCTCTGTATTGCAATAAATTCTTATCTTTTCCAAAAATATCGCTCTCGAAATACGGTATGAAATAGATTTCTTCTAAACTGGGAGCATTTTGTCTATCTTGCTTTCGCGGAGCAACTGAAGTATGTAAGCCTTGTAGTTCTACTCCACCAGCGACACACATATTTGTATAAGGATTGATGCTATATTCCAAAAATTCTTCACTTTTCTCCACTTTTTCAGTTGTTTCTTCACCGCTATTCTCTCCTTTATCCTCACTTTCCTCTTCATGATCAAATGGCTGTTTGCGAGGATCGATACAAATATGACGAATTCGTGTTGGCAATCTTAGAGAACGCCCTGGTAGACTAAATACAGACATTTGTAACATAGTATCAAGGAAAGAAACCCAGTTGCCGTTCCACAATAGTTTCGCTCTCAATCCATTTTGTGCAGCAGTTTCGATACCTTGGAATGTTGGACCATAATCGTAGCCACGCAATCTTAGCTCTTTATAGACATCTTCCTTCGATAGTGGTGTAGCATCATCTTCACCGAATGCAGGTAATGGACTAATTTCCATATCATCTTCAGCAAGACTAACTTTGCCAGATACAGCTAAGCTACTGCCAGACGTTACCACAAATTTTCCAACTGCATCCATTATCTCGACTTGTAATTGAATACTGCCAGTTGATGGTAGGATAGTTGCTTGATGAATAGTAACATCTTCGAAAACAACTGGAGTCTCTCTAAACATTTTACCTTTAAGACGAGCTAATGCTCTCCATGCAAGCACAAGATAACCTGTAGCTGGATATAGAACACGCCCATCAATAGCATGTCCAAGAACATAATGATCAGGTGAATTAGGAGAGACATCAATATCAAATGTGATAGCAGCACCACCGTCTTTTCCGCCTTTCTTTGTGAAATGCTCTAAAGTGGGTACTGCCCATTCCTGTGAATGGTCCCAGACTACCGATGATGAAATCATTGGTGTACCTGGCGGAACCTATTAAGTAAAATATATTTTCCGATTAGTTATGTATTAGGGTCCTATAGAGCAAACTACTCAGATTTTGTAATAACATTAACTAGCTTAATTGATCCATTGCATATATACAAGTATTAAGATCAAGTTTAAAACTTCTTTTACTTTTATTTATTTCGCAAACTTACCGGTAGTGAAGTTTTAGTCAAGAATGCAGAAGGATCAATGTTTACTCCATTCATGTACAACTGGCCAAGAGTTGTAAAAAATAGTTCTCGATTGCGAGGGTTATCCTTTCGCATAGTTTTCATTATTGTACAAGTCTTACTCATAGAGCGCTTCAACACAGCTTGAAGTAAATGATGCGGGCTAATTTCTATTACTATAGCATCTTCTGGTACTTTCTGCATAGCATCGTAAAACAATACTGGACTTACGAAGTTATTAACATAGTAATCTGCTCCAGCGTATTTTGCAATGTCTTCATGTAATTTAGATTCTGATACTGAAGAGCTAATCCAGCGAGATGAACGAAGCTTCGGTTGCGTAACAATTTTCTCAACAGCAGCTTTAAAAAATGGTGCAGCTTTCTTGATATAGTGAGAGTGAAAGGCTACACCTGCTGTCTCTACTTTTTTGGCAAAAATTTCTAATTATGGAAAAATGAATTATTTTGAGGTACGAGATAAAACGGCAATGTCAAGTCAACTAAACAAATTTATCCCAATTTATGACTTATCTATCAAAAATTGTAATCACATCAGTAGGGTTAAAGTGTTTACATCTATCTATTGCTATTAGCTAACCTTCAGATTTTAATTGTTTGACAACTTCTTCCACTTTATCTGGATCACCCGAGATAGTAACAGTTTTTTCTGCGTTATGACATGCAGCTACAACATCATCTGGACAACGCTTTTTCGCTTCTGCCCATGTTAATCCGACAGCAGCCATTGCACCTTTCTCTAATTTAGCATCTAAGATAGATTGACCTCTCCAGTAGCCAACCTGCACTGCTTCTTCTAGTGTCAGTGCTCCATCAGCATAACCACAAGCTACTTCACCGGCACTATGACCGAATAGACCTATAAAAAAATATCAAAGTTTGATGTCTAAAACAACTGCTAGTTACATATAGTCTACATCATTAGCATCCAATAATAAGCTTCTAGTTTTATGTACTATGATTACAATATTGAATTGGAACAAATTGCCTTAATTTGATATACTTTTATCTATAAGACTGTTATGTAATAGCTTCTACGTACCATCTGGTTTAAGGCCACAAGCTTTCAAACAATCGACTAATGCCACTTGTATGACTACTAGCCCAGTGAATGAGTTTCGGACATTTTCAAATGTGTCTTGATCACTATTTAGTAACAGATCCATTACATCCAATCCTGTTGGGAGTAACATTTCACGTGCTCTTTCAATACTCTCGCGAAATACTTCAAATTTCATCATATCTCGACCCATCTTAGCCCAGTGGACTCCCATACCTGAAAACACCCACCATACTGGACGCTTACTTGTTGGTGCAACATCAACATCGTGGATGGCATTTTCTGAATTTAATATTGTGAAACCACGTTGAGGATGATAATTGCTGGCAGTGGGTGTATCGGACATGCTATTTAGGAGATTGATTAAATCAGCTTTATCATGATGTTGATTAGCAAGTTCACATAACTTCTCCACGCTTTCTTTTGTACGACCAGAGCATAGTGCTATGGATAAATCGTTACTTATTGTTAATTGGCTGTCCTCTTCATGGAAAATTCTCGGTTTCAGCACGGCATGAGAATTGGCACCACCAAATCCGAACGAGTTCACACCGACATAGCCATCTGAAATTAGAGACGACCTCATGTTAATAATCACTACTTATCTAAACTGGTATCACTAATGTAAAAAGTCTATCTTATTGACGGTGTAATCGATCAACTCCTTGGTATAGCATCTTGTTTGCATAGACAAGTATCGAGGAGTATACTATGTATAGTATGTATTGACCTGGAAATGGTGTATTTTCTGTAACGACTTTCAAACGCCCATCTAGCAATCCTGGAATGTCAGGATTGGGATTTTTGTAGTGCAAATTAGCTGTTAAAGTGCCATGTTGAGTGCATGCGAGTACTTTAGCAACAGCTGCTAATCCAGATGCAGGCTCACTATGTCCCATATTGGATTTGACGGTCCCAATGAGTAGAGGTTTATTACCACGGACCTCGCCTGCAAACATATCACAGATTGAATTGACTTCTTGTGGATCACCAGCTTTAGTACCTGTTCCATGAGCTTCAACGTAACTAACATCACCAGGATTGATACCAGCTTCATTGTAGATTTCCTTTAATAGGCGAAATTGTGCTCTGCCATTGGGAAATGTAACACCCTGCTCCTTGTATCCGTCACAATTGGATTTAGTATAGGGGACGGTGGCATAAATACGTTTGGCAACGCTTTTCTTCAGTAAAAGTACTGAAATGATACCTAAATATCGAATTATTGTGATATTTTAGACAAGGATATGCAATTTGTAGGTGATAGAGTATCATGCAAGAATGGTGATAATATGTAGGGTATTAGAATGGATCCTATTCTCGAGGTTACGGTTGCCATTGAAAATATTGAAAATTACCTTCAGCACGACAGTAGCCATTACTAGCAGCATCGAATGCTTTGCACGAGCCATCGTGCGATAACATTCCAAATTTATGAAATTCCAAGCCAGTATTGGGTTTGAAATGACAGCATACCCCGCCAACAATTGCACCTTCACAACGTCCCATCCTGATTGATTGTACACCTTGATCGAAAGCGACTAACGATGAAGAGCAAGCAGTATCGACAGCAAAACTAGGCCCTGTGTCAACAAAAGCAAAGATTGTCTTCAACCTTGATCGCAATATCGGTCTAGTTCAGGCTATTTTAATGGCAGTCACAATAGCTATTTTATCATGTGTACTATTTATTACCATCACTCATTGACTTATTTGCCATCAAGGAAAACAAGTTTAAATTGTGGACTTACCGCCAAAATTGAAGTAGTATGATACTCGATTGGCAAACATGCAGGCATGGCAGCCAGTCGCACTGTAGCCTATCTGCGATTCTGCATCAGATTGGTAAGCGTGCAAAGCTTCGCTCAAGGTTTCTCCTACAAAGACACCATAATTTTTGCCGCGTAAGGTGTAAGGATTGAGACCAGCATCGACAATCGCTTCATAAGAGCATTCCAGCAGTATACGAAGTTGAGGATCCATGGTATTGGTTTGCTTGGGATGAATACCAAAGAAAGTTGCATCGAAAAGTTCGGGATTCTTCAATTTGCCATTACGCTTTGGTAATCCATACAATCCAGGAGGCCATCGTCGGTCATCTTCGGTGACCATATCTTCAGCGTTGAATAAATGATCCCAAAATTCTTGCATGTTATTGGATTCAGGTAAACGGCAAGAGATACCAGCAATAACAATTTCATCGTCGTCGATGAGTACCGGCGCCATCTGCAATAATTCAATCAATATGCATGGTCAGCTAGAGTCGTTCATGCTCAACCTTCAACTTAGTCGGATGATTGATCTACTGTCATTGAGGTGCGATAGACTAGATGCACTCTCATATGAATCGGCATGACTGCTAAGGGTACGTGGATCGCAACGTGCTCCATTGCTTCCGTCCAGGTAGCCTGCATTGGCGAGCTGGGTTGGCTTAGTAAAAAATTGTTTTACCATCGCCCGTTGTTTCCAAAAGAGTACAGTACTGTCCTAGACCTGTTTGCCCTAATCTGGTATGTCCAGACCGTAGAGGTAAGGTGAAAAAGAGTCTGTTTTTTAAATCTCAATTCAAACCCGAGTCCATCTCTGAATCGATTCACGGCTCTACAAAAACTTCCTTCCTCGTATGCTCTCCGCCCTCGCCCAATTCAATTTTATTTTCTACCGATGACGTACGTCAACATTTCCATTTTCAGGTACAGTATAGTGACACGGCAGGTCTAGTGACACCTAGCGTCGACACCACGATCGCACGACCGAAGGTTAAGGTTGCGCGACTGTCGCAAAAGAGTATCACGCCATTGATATCGCGAGTACTGGACAGTGTACTGTATTTTACTGTGGTTTTACTACTGTACTGTGCATAGTTGACTATCGCGCTAGACTAGCCACTCCCCATAGTCGAGCCTTATGGTGGAGGTGACGCATTGAGTGGGTATGACTCAGTGCTAGGTGAATGTGCCAGCCGGCATCCGTCTGACACATTGCTCCATACAATCCAACTGATGATCAGTGGGCACTGTTGAGTGTTGAGGGATTGCATAGCTATTCGTTCGGTTTAGTATCCAACTACGCTTGAACAGTATTGTAAAATGGTGCAACAAGTATAGCCTGATTCGGTCTCCAATGACTTGATAGCCATACCTTGCTTTGGTGGTGATGCAAGTCGTTTCACGTAGTCAATAAAGTACAAGACACGACCGTATTCCACGGTCACTCCACGTTGACATGGTTATGGATGACTGTACCACTGCGCAGTGCGCAGTGCGCTTTACTCTTCTACGTACGGTGCATAACCATCAACAATGTTCAATATCTGATCGTTCAAACCAGTCATTTCGCTTTACTCTTCTGTACAGTATTGTACTGTACTGTACATAACCATCTCCAATGTTCAATATCTGGTCATTCGAGCCTGTCATTTCCCACGACATGGCGGATCCAGAATTGCCGGTAAAACTGTTTCAGCGGCATTTTTGCATGTATTTTACAGGGAAATATTTGGGCCTACTGATCATGGACTACTATCGCTATACAGTGCATGGATTAGTCCATGGTGAGGTATTAAATGGAGTGGATGGTGTAATCCGTCGCCGGAATCGTATGGAATACAGTAATATCTAATCTACGGTGCTGTCAGGTACAGACTGTATAAATAGTACCTGTTGTTTGAAAAACAACATTTTTTTTAAAGCTATTTTTGAAATGCCATCCAAGTATGGCTGAGCCTTGAACCACTAGGACCTTGGAAAAGAACGATACAGTAACTGAAACTGTTACTAACAGCCCTGTTAGCCATTTAACAGTAATATTAAAAGTCATTATGTCACGCCGAACAATGATCTCGCAAAGTTGGAAGCCCTTAACCGATTGAGTACAAGCTGCATTGACATAAGTCCATTTAGATATAGTCGTTCCATACTCATCATGTCAATTCAGAATACCCTAAACCCCTAAATTAGCGATGCGATTGAAATTGAAGAGAAAAAAAATAGCTTACCTTTCTTATCTTCTTCTTCTGTGTCTTTTTTTTCAGCCCAAAATAATGGCACGATCTGATCAGATTGTTATTTGACTTGAAATCGGCCAAATAACCCTGCAGGAATTCACGTAGCTGTATCTTGCAATACAGTTGCGATAATTATGGAATTTGGAGGAGATTGGAAGCCAATTTATTACATCAATCTTCGATGCAATCAAATTGGCTTTCAATCTCCAACCAATCAGCTTGTCGGTTGCTTCAAAATCTCGCTCGGGCCATCAATAATAAATAATAGGCTGGAGTCACAGAGATCCGGATTGGGACCCGCGGGACGGACTCATTGTACTGTAGACTACAGTGTACAGTACAGCATAGTACGGTACATTCCATGAGACCATGCATAGACGCATGATTCATTGGTACAGGTGTGAACAATCATTATGGACATGCACTTTGTGCAGTACATTGTACTATTCAAAACAGTACTGTAGTGTACTGTACTGTACACTGTACATCTCAACCAGTGCACTGGGCACGGCAATGTGCTAACTACCCACACTCATTAGTGTGGGTAGTTAGCACATTTTGGGGTATTGCTATATTTCGTCTAGGTCTTTTAGCACATTTTTGGTTAATACCATATTGAGTGCTACTGTTCAGGGCGTATGACTACAGTAGTGAATTAATACAAAATTCCAATTCCAATTAGGACTTCTGTCATTTAGATATTAATTACAATTAGTAGTACAGTGAATTGCCATTATACTGCTTGGTGGATAGGTGGGGGCATATGCCGAGTAAAAATTGCATCTCCTATTTCAAGGGTTGTTTCGTATTTTACAACATCACTACCATATAATACCATATAGATATTGTATTTTGTTAGTATTATTATCATGTAATTAGGAGATGAAAACAAGAAGCATCATTTCAGTTTATTGGTGGATTCTACATAGCAGATGGTTATTATAACTGTAGCTATTTTACAAATAGATTAAAATTAACGTTATAATAATGCTATGGCAGCCCTATTTTTAATAGCGTATAGCTGTTATGAATTATTGGCCAAATAGTAGCTGTATACTCAATGTTATCCAATAGGAATGTAATCAAATTTTTTTAATTTATCCATTTGTGTTCAACTTTTCACGAATGTTACTAGCAGTTTCTAACAAAATCATGCAAACTTAAAATCGATCAACGATAGATCGCTCATGGACTTAGAGAATTCCTAGTGTCGCATTAATTTTAACCTTATCAATTGAATGCTTCAAAATTAATCACTGCTAACCAATATTGGTAACCAAATCACAACAGCTCTACAGTAACAACATCAATAGCAGAGTATCTTCAACTCTGTCTCAGTCTGCCATATATCGTCATTTGTATTGACTGGTTATGGAATAATAATAATAGAATCAGATATAAGCTTCTACAGTAGAAAGTGCAGTATAATCAATCAGGAGGCAATATCCGTTCATCCGATTTACTTCAATAAATATGTATGTTGTGATTTATGATGAGTTTGATCTTTATACTAGTAAAGTGATAATTAACATCCAACATAAACAACGATAAAGCAATAAAAGTAATGGATTCTTATGGTATAAAATGTTAATTTAAAGGAAGAGATAACCCGTTTTTGTAATAACTTTTTACTATCCACCAATTGAGGTAAATTAAATGTAGTGATACTAGGCAATAGGAAATTTTGAATACCGTTTTTAAATAATTTGTGTTTTAAATTGAGGCTAGAAATAGAAGAATCAATGCTGCAGTTTTCTTTCAATTAATTCAGAAGCCCATTTAATCCGTAAGCTAGCTATCAAAGTAGTAAATTTGGCTGGTAGTATAAACTGCGTAATGAAGTGTTACGGTATTGCGTTGCCTAAATTATAGAATTTAAGAAAGTATTATCACTGACAGTGTTTCAGTATTATAGTATAGTAAATGTTTACGTTAGACTAGTCAACTTGCCAGGAAGTAGTCTGTGACAGGAAGTTAATCTAACTTTTCATATCACAATCTTGTATATCGCTAAATCACTTTTCTTTTACATTGAACTCAGCAGAAGACTCCTAACTCATCTCGCTGAAGTTAGCTAACAGCTCTAGTTTAAATTAATTAAAAAATACTGTAAATATACAGCCTCCACCGAAAATCATTCCATTGAAGCCAGTTATTTTAGATAAAATTAGACATTTGTTTCAGTAGACATATACAAACATAAATCGTGTTATCAAGTCAAAAAAATGTCTTAAACCTTCTGAAAATGATTTTTTACACTATTTGACAGTAATATCAGCCTGTTCCGAAGTTGCTGCGACTTCGAATCAGAATCACTTTTCGTTTGGACAGTAATTATCTCCTATTACTCGAAAATGCTCAAATAGTAGCCTATCGTATGAGCTCTAATATCAATCTTTTATTAGGCGAATACAATTCCTCTATATCGCTATTTTGCCTTTTATTACATCATATTACTTTTATTTTAGCTTCTTATGGATTCACACCCTTTCGTTCAACTCATAATTGCAATATCGCGGTAGAAAGTGGCCTAACTAATCGTTGTGACTATGTAAGATTCTTGGCATTTATAAGCCCTTCTTTTCTCAAGATAATGCGATATATGCGTACGTGTATAGAAGTAGATTATATCAATATCAGAGGGCAATCATGTAGAAAGTGCATTGTACTATTTTATTGTTCTGATACACACCATCTCCATGTCGATTTCCATTTTACAACAAGCGATAGTAGTAAACTATCTTTCCAGAATGTTGTGAGCTACGAAGATGCATTTGGTCAACATCATCAAAACAAACCAAAATTGTCCTATGTGGCTAACAAATAATTCAACGACTGGCTGGTGAATAAGTGGGCCGTATGCCGAAAAATTTGTCTCCTACTGCTTTGGACAGCTAGATTGATATCTTAATGGATTAATGCTTTTACAAGTATTGAATGGTATATAAGTATTCAAATAGGGCTAATAGAGCAAAATTATAGTGTGTTCTAAACAACTTCTGCTTATTTGAATACCGAATTTTAGTATTTAATAGTTGATTCATAGAATTATTTATGAACTCGTCACTACAATTCAATATTCCCCTGGTAACTTATATTACTGCATCATGATGAAATAGCATAATTAATACAATTTTTTTTGTCAAGTTACTGCTTACTTAACTAGAAGATCAAAATAAGTAGCATCACTATAATTTTTTTTACCTACCTTGGACAGCAGATAAGTTTCACTGCTATAATTATTTTACAAGCTGATAGATTAGAATTAGCGGCATACTCGTATGTAAGGGTAATCTTATTTTGAAAACGTATAAGAATGTACTAAAGTCTGTCAGTTCCATCTATAAGTATTAAACACTTGACAAAGTAATAAAGTTTTGAAAATTAGAATCTTACAACGATCGATACAGTCGTAATTTGATTTATGATTTGATTTGTGAAAGTTTATTGCGCAATTATAGAATTTTACGTATTATTTACAAATCCGAGAATATTATCTACCGGAAATTATTTTAGTCAATCAGCTCTACTTCAGTAGATATAGATGCTATCTATAAAAATGGCAGTATCATCGGTAACAAAATCAATCGGATCTACTTTAATCCGAATGGTGAATTACAAAACCAAGTCATTTTCATCTTAATCAATAAAGTTATCGAGACCTTTTTAATATGTTAATGAAGATAACAAATAGTAATTAAGACTCGAATTTAAAAATGAGCTCAGACTTAAGCATATCTCATTAAAGGCATCGTGCCTATTTTGAACAGTACGGTACCTATTTGATATAAGCATAAACTTAATTAAGAAAGAGAGACAATCGGTCTTCGCCTTTATTATATTACATGTAGAAAGAATATCATTTCTACAAAATTGGCAATCATGCTAATTGTTATAAAAATAGAAGCCGTCTTAATACTTGGCAAGTAAAAAGCAGTTAAGCAGCTATTGAAGAAATTGAAATTTTTGCTTTGTTGAGTAAGGAGCTAACTATTATAATCAATTAAACTGCTAGTTCTGATGTTGTAACTTGTTCTATTCCGTGTGAATAATACTCCACTTTCAAGATAGCCTTCGCACACAATCTTTTATAACCTACTGTGATAATGCATTAATAAAAAACTGCTGAAATAGGTTATAGTCAATCCTATACTTTTTATAATCATTCGTTGATACTGTCAGAAACAAGTTAGTATCAATACTATGCTTAGAAATAGTTCTGTTAGGGTGGTTTTCCTAGTAAAAATAGTTTACCATCGTATTGTATTTATCTTTACTCTTATATGATTAGCATTTGGATACACTTAATAGTCTCTGTGCTACTATATTTAAGGCTCTTATTTTATTATTCTAAATGATCTTTGATCAGTACTATTTGCAAATCCTAATTTACAAGAACAGGTAAAAATAAGGATCTTACTTGCAATATAACATGGTAGAACATAATTACTAGGAGATAGTGTCGAGGCTGTCGGCTATGGCTCTAATTCAGTACTTACTACAAGTAGTTCATGCAGTACTGGAGTTGTCTTATTAGCAACTACTGTCGGCTAAACACTTTATGTACGCACTATCTATTATAATGCTTTCTATTTCGTTTATCAATATTAATCGAAATGATACACGAAACTATGCCTTATTCCTTATGTTGATTGTTTTAAAAATAGAAAATTTACTAAAAACTACTGTCTGCTAAAAACTTTATGTACGCATTATCTACTATAATACTTTCTATTTCATATGTCAATATTAATCGAAATGATTTCCTGAATAAGATGTATAAAATGTGGCTATGGTATTAATATCTTAACTGGATATCAAATTAAAATCGCCATAATCAATTAGCGATAGTTTTATCTACTATTTTACTTAATTTTATCACGTAGATATTCTGCTTTAAATTACTTTGTAGAAAATATGATAATTTGTACCTCAGCATTGCATTTCTATATGCCAATACAGTACGCCATACTAAGTTTTTTTTATTTGATGCTAATGTAGTTCGTATTTTGATAACTGATAAAATTAAAAAAACTCTCACTTCATTGTTCGCTTTATAATTCAGCATACGGTTATCCCGTTATGTACACGAAAGAATCTTTACTTTAACAAGTTTACTCGAGTAGAATAAAGGTCACAGCTGGTGATGAAGAATTTTTTTCTAGTCTATTCAATTACATTTAGAGAGAGAGGAAAGTGAATAATATAATCTAAATCAATCTCAAATTTAGTAGCTTACATTATAATTAATTATTGCAAAATTTGTTTGGGTTTCAAAGAGAGGCTGATGTAAGATCAGACGTAAAGCGATAGTTAATTACCGCCATCAGCTTGATACCCGGTCTATGATGTGTTGAGGTTTATGTATAACAATAACATTAGATGTAGACATTTTTAATCCTGCAATATATATAACTGCATCGCGCCCAATTGTTCATATTTTCCAGTTTAAATTGTAGAGAGTGTGTGAACTGCAGTTCGAATTCGAACACTATTCAATATTTTATTGCTTGTCTTCTTTTCTATTTTCTACCTTTAGCTAGAAAAATGTCCAGATTGATCGCATTTGTTGTTATCCTAGCTGCTATTGTACCCAATGGATTTTCTTCGGTATATTCTAGCTACATACTTAATGAAGAAACTCTTTTCTTTGCTGTTGCTATGCTTCATGATTACAGTAACATTTTTAGCAAATTACTATTTCTACTAATAGGACTAGTATTAAAATCATATTTTACTGTTGATAGGTGGTTATCAAGCATCGCGCTAAATCTTGTTATGAAGTCAAAGAGTATCTTCAAGCTAACGAGAATGGATTTTATAATCTATTCGATAGCTTAGGCAGTCCTTACACTACTTATTGCGATTTTGAATCCGATACACCATTTGTTTGGACCTTGATAGAATCGTTTTCGTTACAAGAAGCTCAAAAAACAGCTAATCGTAAAGGTGTGTATGTAAATCATCCTATCGGAGAATGTATTCTATCTTGGTCAGCATTTCGATTATCTAGACTCAGAATGGATACAATCATAAGCTCATATGGGACAACACACTATCGTACAACGTGCAATTTTAATTATGTTAATGGAACTGGATTAGCTAATCGTCGCGATTACTTGAGAGGGGAGATTTGTCGACGCAGTTATTTCCACAGTACTTGGGCATTAAATAGATATGGCCAACCGACGTATATATGCAACTACGTCGACTACGTCAATGTCCGTGGAACTACCTGTCGCAAGTGTACTGTTCCATTTGTTCGTCCTACAAGTAGCGTCCATGAACATATCGATCTTAGCATTGCAGCTTCCCATTGCAGTAAATTCACTCCTACCGATTCCATTTCCAATGAAGACGTTTTCGGACATTACGGTAATGCTAATCCGTTATTTTCATGTACGTCGAATGTGAATTCTACGACTAATTGGTGGTTAGGAGGTGCTTATATTGCTGAAGCTTTTTAAGCGTTTTATTACTATCAAAAACTTAATCATAATTTTGATAAGGATAGAACTTAAATTTATTTATCGCCGTCTCTACTTTAATTCAACTTAGAGCTGTGTACACTTTTTGTAGCAATTTATCTATCATTGTTTAGTAATCATCTTTCTAGATATGTAGCTATAATTTTGAAAATGAACAAGTAACTTAGTTATTTTAGCTGATAATGTGCCGTAGCAGGTTATCAATGTACGGTACATGAATGCATATCTCTGTGTACCCTAAAAAAGGAATAAAATTAATCTTTACACTCACTTGACAACTTGGTTTAATATCGCTTTATCCATGTCGAATAGTTGACAGATTCAATGAAGTCAAAAAGCTAAAGATATTCAAATAGTAGAACTAGTGTAGATTATTACAAAGTCATGCTGGTATAAGGTCTAACTTGCTAGAGATCTACTATTCTCTGAGCTACCGTACTATATCAGTATCATAAATTAAAGTTCAATATCTTTTCGTCTGGATTATGAGCTTTTTTAGTTCAAGTTCTATATCATGCTGAACCGCAAGTGCAATTTTGTAAATACCTTAAGAAATTATTTGTAGGTTAAATCTAGACACTTTCTAGTAGACACGAAGGTCTTACCCAACAATGTAGTGCTTACAGTAGGAGTGCCTATAATTCTCTCTGTCTAGCATTTATCCTCTATTATATTAATTGTTGATGGTTATATAAATACAATAATGGAATCATATCTACAATCTACAACGGAGAGAGTATAATTAAGCAGAAAGGAATACAATTAATTTCGCCTACTTCAGTGGGAAATTAAACTGTGTAAGTTTATTCAATAATAATAGAATCACGTCTACCGTATACATAAATGTGAGCATCATCGATTAAAAAGTATTAATCAATCAGATAAACTACAATAGAAAATTTAAATCATAAATGTTTATTTATTAAGAATAAAATCGTATATACTATTGATAAATATATCATCTAGATTGAAAGTCGAAGCGAGGCTATGCATAAACATGCCATATGAAGGTTATTGTAGCCATTTTAATTATTAATTAAATACGACCATCTAATGTAGGGCAGGCTTTCAAGAAAGTGTCAATTTATTTTACAGAAGTCTTTAACTTACTCAACGTGTGATTTCTTGGAATCATTCAGTAAAGTAATCGAAAGGTTATTAAGGCGTTGAATAAATGACAATAGCACGGGATTTCTGCTTCTCGTATTTAATCGAATAACTAACTTACGAATGAGGTGACAATTTTTTTCAACGCCTATTCGAAATCGCAAATCGAATTAACTTTTATTCTCTTAAGTTCTGATATCTCAGCAAGTTGTTTTCTTACTATCAATTCGATATTAATGGCTTTATGTAATAGAGCAGAAAAGGAATTGCAGTCATGATAAACTTTCAACAAGGTTAATCAAGGTTCATCGTTCTAAGAAAATCGTCATGAAAATTATACTTGATATCCAACCCAGGCAAATTTTAATCTTCTTATATTGATACACTTAAATCAGTGCAAGCTAAGGGATATACAGTATAAAAGAGCGAAATAACATATACATTAGACATTATTGACAATTCTGTTTGCCTTCTAAGCAATTGTTAATATTTGTGACAGTACTTGGTATAAATTATAAGCTTAGAAGAAGAAGTAACCCGCTTTTACAATTACTCGTTAATTAATATCCATCAAATTGAGGCAGACATTATTTGGTGTGATGTTAGACTAATAGAAAATTCAGATTCTATCTTGCATAATAGTGATTGTATTTTAAAGTAGAACATGGAATAAAGGAATAAACATTTTAGTGTTTTCCCATTAACACAGCAGGCTATTTTTAGTCCACAAGTGAGCCACTAAAATAGCAGAATACTGTTCGTAGTATAAAACCGCTCACGATTGAAATTAAGCTTACATTCTCCTCACACAATCTTGAATACAACCGCATCATTTTTATGCAAGTAGCGTAACATAAAATTCCTTACTTATATAATTCAAGATGGTCAAAATCTGGTCTCTCTTTGCTATTGTGGCTCTCTTACCACTTGTCATGCCAAATGTAAGTCTAATAGCTCAAGTTTAGATCGGATATACTCGTATACCTTTAGTAATTCTAATTCCCTTGATTTCGATCTGTAATATGAATAATGACGTTTACTTCTGTAGACACATCACAAACCTAAATCATGCTATGAAGTTAAACAATTCCTTAAAGCTACTGAAAATGGCTTTTTCACTCTTTATGATGCTAACGGTAACCCGTTCCGAAGTTTTTGCGATTTCGAATCAGAACCGCCTTTCGCTTGGACATTAATTGAATCTATGACTCTCGAAAATGCTCAAAAAGCACAACATAATAAGGGCTTCAGTGTCAATATCCCATTAGGCGAATGTCATACCTCTATGTCTCTCTTTCGCCTTCCATCCCATCATATGTCTTCTGTTTTATCTTCTTATGGATCCACACATTATCGTTCAACATGCAATTTCAATATCATTGAAGGAACTGGTCTAGCTAATCGTCGCGACTATATAAGATTCTCGGCATGTAGAGGTGCTTCTACTCTCAGTAATATAAACGGTGGCTGTGTAGAGGTAGATTATATCAATATCAGAGGGCAATCATGTAGAAAGTGCCAGATGCCATTTTATGCTTCTAGTTCATATCATCTTCATATCGATCTTAGTGGCGCAACAACTACTTGTAGTAGATTTGGTTTTACTAATTTTGTAGCCAATGAAGATGTGTTTGGCTACTATAACTCTCATAATCCAACATTTTCTTGTACTGCCAACAAAAATTCAACTACTGCTTGGTGGATAGGTGGGGCATATGCCGAGTAAAATTGGATCTCTCATTTGGTAACTGTCTATTATTTTTATTGTTTCAATTGGTTACTTGCGTAGCACATTAAATCGAATCGTAAGACTTTTAGGGCTAGTTAAGCTATATAAGTACCCTGAATTGCAGATATTAATAATGGCAGTTCTATAATATTATTTGTTATTAGCTCGTGATTCGAATTAAATATATACTTATTGAGACTCAAGGGCTATTCAGTGTTTACAACATAACCACAAAATGCTGCAAATAATGTATTTTGTTAGGATTATCGTGTAATTAGTAGGTTAAATTAGGAGGAGCATTCTAGTACATTTGTCGATTCGGGATAGCAAATAGCTATTATAACTGCATTTATTTTCGAAATAAATTACAATTAACGTTATAACTACGGCATACCAGCCCTATTTTAATAGCGTTTAGCTACTAAAAATTATTAGCAAAATATTAGCGGTATACTCAATGCTATAGAAGAAAAATTTAATAAAATCATCCACATTTATTAATTCGTGTCTAACTTTTCACGCATACTACTAACAGTCGTAACAAAGTCGTATAAACTTAAGTTTTCAGCGATAGATCACTCAGTCATTGGCTTAGAGTATTCATTATCTCCTATAACTTTTAACGTTATCAATTGAATGCTTAGAAATCAATTATATTGTTAGTCAACATTTCCACCTAAGTTACTACAAATCTACGGTACCAACACCTATGGTCTAGTATTTTAGCTTTCTTAGTTTACATAAATCCTGATTTGTATCAATTTTTGCCGGCTATGGAATAGTAATAATAAATTCAGATATACAATTTATACAGTAGAGAGTATAATTAATCACGATGTAAAATTGTCTATCCGATTGACTTCAGTCGAAAAGTGAATTATGAAAGTTAAGTTAATAATTATAATAGAATCACATTCTGCTATCAACAATATTGAGATAGTCCAGTAGAAACTATTAATCAGATCTACTACGATCGAAAAATGAAGTAAAAAAGATTATGGATTAATATTAGAATCGCAAGCGCCATCTTTAAACATGTGCATAATCAACGAAATAGTCCAATCAATCGTATTTACTCCAATCCGTAAGTAAATCATAAAGCCAATCTCTATTCAACTTCATCGATTCAACTTCATCGATAAATAAATCGATATAAACTTCAACTTATAATTACTTGAACTGCGGATCTTATTAACGGTTGATTTAAAGAATTATTTACATGAACTAGTCACTACAATTCAATTTGCCCTTCGCGTGTTTTATACTATTACACATTTTACAGTATCATGATAAAATCGCATAACCAATATAATTTTCTACATCGTCTAACTATATTCTCACACCTAGAAGATCAGAACAAGTAGCATCGATATAGTTCTTATTATCTACCTTAGATAACAAATAAATTTTACTATTATAATTATTTTACGGGCTGATAGATTAGAATTAACGATATACTCGTATATAAGATTGTTATTAGCTTTATAACGTGTAAGAATCTAATAAAGATTTTCGATCCAATCTGCTACCAGTTGACACTTAATGAATGCAACTAACAAAAGCAACAAGGTTTTGAAAATTTATACTTTATACTTATACTTTTCTTAGTCTAGAATTTATATTTAATAATCTTCGATGATTAAATAAAATATGAATAGAATCATCTGTACTGCCTATGAAGGGAAAAGTATAATCAACCAGGAAGTAGTACAATCAGCTAGATCTACTCTAATCTGAAATTGAATTTTAAAAGTTTTTTAATAATAATAGAATCGTATCTACTATCTATATAGATGTGATCATAATCCATATGAAGTCTTAATCAGATAAGAGACTGTCATTGGAAATTTAAATCATAACTGTTTGTTTATTAACAGCAGAATCGCATATACCAACATCATACATAAAATGAACAAAACAGGATTATCAATTGGATCGAATCCATTCGAAAATAAATTATAAGTCTAAATTATTTTATCTTAGTCAACAAAGCTGTCGAAATCTTTACTATGCTAGTGGGAATAAACACTAATAAGCTAGATTAGAAATTATAACGGAGTTATGTCTAAACCTTTCAAATCAAGGCTATGTTTGAACTTGCCAAATTGAGGCTATATTTAAACCTGCCAAATAGAGGCCAACGCAGCCTAAATAGCGTACGCAAGGTAATATTTTGTAGCGTCAAGTGTGGCATGCTCAAACATCTTGAAAGTTGGAAGTGTTAGACCTAGATATTGTGGACCATTGTCCAAAAAGGCAATACAGTTCTCGTAAATCCTATTTCACTCTTTTCTTTGTATGCAGTATTCCTCTTTCAATTTTTCGGCCATTTTTCCCTCTCTGCATTCACATAAAACTTTCAATAATGTATCAAGCTTTGTTGTTGAGCTGAATTCAGAATACCATGCCTCCAGCAGACGATCAACCTTCCAAAATCTGCTATTATTTGAATCAACTATTTCGTTAATGCTATTCGACGATAAATGCAATTTTCTACCAAATTCGGCCAACTTAGTTGATTCTATTTTATCGGCGATATCTATAAAGATGCTACGTCTATTAGAATCTATTAGGGAAGATCAAAATATTTGAACAAATCAATAATGTGGAGGTCATTATTAATTTGTTGTCATTGCTAAAATTCCGAGTACAGCACATCGTTATTTACCTATAAATTAAAACACTGAAAATCATTGACAATGAACTATTCATTTTTAGGTAGTATTCACTTAGCATTGGACTAATGAGCAGATTTTACATTACCAGTGGTTTTAGTATCATAATGACAATTCGAATATGTAACGAAATTATGGCAATGGATTAATAGCTTTTAGAACAACGAAATGACTATGCTATAAAAATTATGCTTCGTGAGAAGGCAATATCAAGCTGTTACAAGTTCTCGAAAACTATTTGAGATAAATAGGTGATCATTACTACTTTACCATCCTGTATTGGATCCATTGTGTTTTGAGTTGCCGTTTCTCCTTGTTGACTAGTCGTAGATTCTTGCATAACTGGTTTGATACCTACCGATTTACGTTAACAGATGCAAGTAATATATGAAATAAATATGAGAATATTAAATTTTTGGTGTTAAATATTGAAGGCTGTAGGTTCGTTTAAGTCGCTTGACATGGTATTGCAGCAGGTATTACAACATTATTTTATTCATATCTTTAACAAGCTCTATGTTTACGCACATGTACATATAAAAGCGAAAAAAGACACAATTTGAAACAAGTCAATAGATTCTATCAACTTGTCTAATTCAGAGTCACTATGTCCTATGATAACAATTGTTAAAATGCCTAAATGAGATCTATGTTGAAAGTTTTATCACTATTTGACAATTTATAATATTGCTGGAATATGCGTGATACTCGTGGAACTCCAATTCGAGACGTCGAAACATTATTTTATGGCATATGAATATAAGATAGCGAATGCAATTGTTACTAATTCACTTGTCGTTATCTTATTCATAGTTAGTAAACTAATTAATATTTAAAACAGTAAAATGGATAGAAAGGTTAGATAAACCAGTTTATTCTCACATCAATAGGTTTAAGAGTATCTATCATTGATTGAGACCAAAGCTGCTGTGATACTGATTATATATAATTATTATTCGTTAAAATACGATGTCAATTTCAAAATTTATAGTCATAATTGCGAATTTTTGGATTAATGAAAAGAACTTAATATCAAATAGTACCCATCTCTAGTAGCTTATCCCTTACAAATTACTATGAATGGTATATTCGAGCACTACAAGAATAATTTGTCATACTGTATTGATTGCACATGCTTACTTATAAAAGTGTCATGAGTGCCTAAACGAGATCTATCTCAAAACTTTTATCACTGCTCGACCATTCGCGATGTTATTGGAGTATGCGTTATACTCATGTAGCTCCAATTCAAGATATTAAAACATTAAGTTTTAAGTCAATAAGGAGATAAGAAAGCGAAAGCAATTGTAATTATTAATTCACTCGTCTGTAACTTATAATTATTTATAACCAATAAAATAATTAACGATTTATGCAGTAAAATATATAGAAAGTCTAGAAAAACGAATTTTTTTTAAGTAAATAGTTTTAATAATAACTACCATTGCTAATTTACTATCTTGTAATGGATCTATACCGTTTTGAGTTGTTGTTCCTCCTTGTTGACTGCTTATTGATTCTTGCACCACAGGTGTAATATCTACAGATTTGCGTCGAGTAAGTAACATCTGATTATTTATGAAAATATTGAATTTTAGCTGTGTTAGGTTTTATACATTAAGCGTATAATTTCATTTCAGTCGCTTGATATGGAATTATAGCAGCGGTTGCTACATTATTCTATCCATCTACTAAACAAGCTATATATATGCGCACATGTAAATATAAAAAGCTATCGAAAGACACAATAGGGATCAACTCAATAGATTCTTTCAATTTGTCTAATTTAGAGCTTCTTTGGCTTCTTATAACCTTATTTTAAATCCCTAAATGAGATCTATGTTACAATTCTATCTCTACTCGAGCATTCACGATGTTACTGGAATATGCGTAATACTTGTGCAGCTGCAATTTAAGGTGTCAAAACATTACTTTTTATGAAATATGAACATAAGAAGGCGAATGCAATTGTAATCATCAATTCATCTATCGCTAAATTACTCATATCTAGTAAACTAATTAACATTTAATGTAATAAAATGAATAGAAAGGCTAGAAAAGCCAATTTCTTTTTACATCAATAAATTTTAGAGTATCTACTGTTAATTGAAACAAAAACCATTGTAGTACTAGTCAATATTCGTTAAAAATTCGATATCAATTTCAAAATTTATAGTTATAATTGTAAATTTTCTTAATTTAGGAAAGAATTTAATATAATTAAGATTTATCTCTAGTGGTTCATCATTCTACATATTACTGTAAACAGCATATATTTGCGTACTATACACATGAATAATATTGTTTCGCAGGCTCAATTATAAAATTGTCATTCTTTTACATTGACGTTAAGTCGTATTGACGCTAACACTGAAATGAACGAAGGACTAACAAATTAACGGACGATACGGCCGACTGGAGTAGTGGTGTCGCAAAAAGCTCGCGACGCGGAAACCAGGGATCATTAAAACTCCTTAAAAGGTAAAGCTACAACAGCTGAACGTGTCTACAACAGACTAGGAGTAGTCTAGTTTGAGGTTTAAAAGGATTTATTTAATTTAGTAGTCTTGAAATCCAAGGCTACTTCATCCACACGCACACCACTCGGCTAATCATCAACGGATCAGTTAATGAGAGGACCGGGCTTTATATACTTTCTCTCGGCTGCACAACTTAGATAAATAATTCTAAAACTTATACAGAACTGTATGGCCAACTGTTTACGAAGTCTGTACTTCGTCGCAACTGGTGTAACTAATGTTGCCTATTGTGTAAGATTAAGGTTTTACTCGTGCCTAGCGATTGACCGGAAAATTAGACTCGTGCTGCGTACGACGTAAAATTTAGAAATGTGCAAGCTATTGCATGACGGTAATAAACACTCATTGGAATTTAATTTAGTAATTTAAAAGTGTAAATCGTCGGCTCTTTGGTATCTAGCAGATTCAATATCGACTGAATCTTGGCCTGTATCTAGCTTATGCAAGATTACATTTTAAACTACTCAGAATTTTATTAGAAACCGAAAGATAATTGCGGTGTTTTTGCTATCTCCTTTCTTAGTTATAGCTAAAGTACACAAAAATATCTGAGATATTGCGAATAATGATGAAATTTTCAAGATCAAATTATACCAGTAAGTCAATTTTACTTCGATTTTAGCGCTAATGTTAAAGAATAAAATATCTGTATATAGCCTATGAAAGTATTTGCTATAATTCCAGTACTAATGTTAATGTCAATCTATTGATTTGCGAAAATTTTAGTTTATTATGCTCTCTATTCAAATATACTGTAAACTATTGATATATATTATACAGAATAAAACTCATAATTATAATAGGAAGGCTTCTTACTAATACTCTTGCTGCAGATTCTAGGTTACTTATCTATACTTGCAAAAAGCATCTACTACTTTTGGTTGGTCAAACGGATTACGATTCTATTCTGCAGCAAAATCTAGGTAGATTACATTCATTACTGTTTAATCAAGGTAAAATCTCCGGTCTACCGGCGATAAAGCTAACAAGATTTTGCTTGAAGAAGGCCGTCAGTAGAGAAATGAAATAAGCAATTTAGAGTTTATCAGATCTAGCTATGAACATCTCCCAGAATTGAGATTAACTCAAAAAAAAACATGCTAGTTAGGAAAAGTAACAAAGGAATAAACTGAGTTACTAGCAAATCTAAAATGAATCATTCCTTAAGCTGTGGATTTAGTCAAGAGAACTAATCAAATTCTTTTTGCTAATGTATTGCTTTCAAATTTTGTCTGTAATTAATTAAATAGTGTATTATATTTTAATCTCAACTAGCTATACCTGGCAACATTGTCCACCCATGGACAGATCCACATTCGTAAATTTCATCACAATTGCAATATAACAGCTGTGAGCTGCTCTGGACTGGACTATTCACATCAACAAATGTATTGCAATTTGCACACTTTATAAAATATAAACAATCTGAATTTTTGCATCTTGGCATCCGTTCCTTAATCAGTGATGATAATTTATTTCGAATAAATATATATGGTGGTTTTTCATTTATAAGTTTTTTTACTTTATCTTCTATCTGTCGTTGTAGGCTAGGTTTATTTGACATCATTCGATAGCGATACTTGATACCAATCCAGGAACTTTCTTTTTTAACAATAATATCACAACAATATTCTTTCAGACGATATTTTGCACACTTGTAACGTGGCTCAATCTCTGAACTTTGCCATTCTTTATAACAAGATACAAGTAAACAAAATAATATGCCATCTGGAATATAAGGCATTTGTGGTGGCTTAAATCCTATGTACAGCCATCCCGATGTTTTATATCCTTTGTCATCAAATTCCTGGCTATTTGAACGAAATAAATAGGGCACGAAATACTGATCAGGACAATTGTCATTTTCATTACTGATCTTGCAAATAATGTCGTACGATTCCATTAAATCCAACAGAAATTTTCTGTCCTTTTCTTCTACTTCGAGCTTGTCAAATTGGTCATTAATATAGCGTGATGACATAATTCCTGAATCTCGAGCAGCTTCATATTCTGCGTTTATTCTTAATCCTTTACAAACAGGTTCATCTAACTGAATAATTGTACGGAATATGTTTAATAGCCATTCAACTTGTGTAATAACTTTTCCTTTAGCAGATTCTTTTTGGCAATAAACAATTTCTCCTAGATCATGCAGATAGAGTAGCATTTGGTGAATATCTTCACTTCCATCGCATAATTGATACTCTTTCGCTAATTGTTCGATTTCTTCAGCTGCCATAATTCTACTAATTTTTTGATTCAACTTTGTAGAAAATTTTGCCGCTTGTTCGTTAAATCGATCCAAAGAAGTATGCAGTATAGCTGCCATAATATACCATTTGAATGGAATTTGAGAGAAGTGATCGATAGAAGGTTGATGATTAACAAAATCTCTCATGATATTATGCAATTGCCCACAATTTTTTTGACGTTGCAATCGCACTTCTTCGCCATTATCTTCGTCATTACAGTTAAATATTATTTTAGAACCATATATATGATCAGAATAAGAAGGAAGCTTATTATGAATACATCTACTAAATTTCGAAAATCTTTGCTGACAGGCATTGTTATCACCTATTTTATCAGCATGCGTTCCGACTAAAATAACTATAGGCCACGCGATATTTTCTAGAGTACCATTAATTTCCGTTACAGTACGAGCATTGCTTGTGCTACTACCAATAATTGAGGCGAGCCATTCTTGTATAGCCTCCAAATATGTCATTTCGGTATCATTGCCGTCTCGATCAACGACATATTTATCTATATCTTGAGACATATCGAGGACTAACATGTAGATACAATTGCAAGATATAAATGGCTGATGTGTTATGTGATAGATAGAATGGCCAGCAAAATCCCATAGTTTACCATAATGGCAGTCATCTATTCCGATATTTTGGTTGGACTCATAGTGACCTCGAAAGTAATTCTCGAGAAATTCTAGAGGGATGGTCTCTTCATCTGCCGATACAGACTCAGAAAAGGTCGACTCCTCATCTTCCAGTACAGACTCAGAAAAGGTCGACTCTTCATCTGCCGATACAGACTCAGAAAAGGTCGACTCCTCATCTTCCAGTACAGACTCAGAAAAGGTCGACTCTTCATCTGCCGATACAGACTCAGAAAAGGTCGACTCCTCATCTTCCAGTACAGACTTATAATAATCTGATAGAACTTGAGATAACTGTATTGCTTGTCGAGTATCATAGGAGGAAAAATCTGAAAGCGATTTCTCTAATTTCATTTGGTATTTAATAGTTTCTATTGCTGTAACTACTTTTCTCGCTAGGACAGATATAAACTCATCGACCGATTTATTATCGACGTTATATGTAAGTAATTTGATAAGTTCTTTCGTTACTACTGCCGCCGTTGTCGGTCCAATTTTACCAATCAATCCTTGCCGTGTGAAGGCTTGGATAAGACATGATTTTCCGACATTTTGAGGACCTGTTATCAGGAATCTAATGAAATCATTACGACAAGATCCCTCTTTTCTAGCTTTTGCATACGCTTCCTTATATTCTTTCTCTTGAGTGAATATAAAATTAAATGTCAAAGAATAATTAATACATTTTACCTCTAATAGATACTTCAAAAGCGTCACCAGGTATATAATTGGAAAATTACATTTTCATAAATTTCCTGACTTAGTAATATTGCTACAGTAACTATCCATGACATGGTATTGTATATAAAAAATTGCAACTCTTATCATATCTTGCAAAACTTTCATGCACGAACAACTCAACTTTAAAAGAAGAAAGTTGCACAATTAATGTCGTAGTTACCAATTACGTTCTTGATCAATGTTCCACATACTTAATAAAGAAACCTGATGTGATTTATAGTAATGTGAAAATTGTTTTCCTATAGTATAACATACCTTCTATGATCTTGGACATCGCATTCCTTTCTTGCTTTTCCAGTTCATTTAGGCGTAGAAACGCTACAATAGTATCGCATAAAATTAATATTACAAAGAGGTTGTCGTACTTATTAATTCTTATAACAGCTAAAACTATTTTGATGAAGATTATATAATTATAGGTCTTAATAAGCAAAGTAAATACTGTAGTAGGTACTAATCTTATTATCAGATAGGCAAGTTGATTTACTTTGCTAATACTCGTTTAAGGATGGAAGTAATATTAACATTTCGAAGTCATAGAAATAAATTAAGAGCATATTTAACATGTAACATAAAACGCTCAACAAAAATATTATATTCTACTTTGTTTCAATTTTTTAAAATACTACTATTCAACAATATACTCCCACAACTATCAGTGAATCGCATTCCTAAGAGCATTCACTAATTTAGTGAATGAGTAAATCAGTTGCGTTCAACAAAGCCATCACATTAATATATGTATGTTACGTATACATAGTTCGTGTACCATGATTATAATCGACAATAGAGAACGTATTAAAGATAAAGCAATTTGTCGTACAATAACCTTGATCTCTGTTTATTTCATCGACCATACCACTTTTACCAATGCGCAATAAAGCATCATTCAGTCGGTCAATGGTAGCGGATAAGCCGTATTTCGTATGCCATTTCTTGAGAAAAGCCATCGCTTGATGATCTTCTATTTTGTATTTTGACTTGATAGCCTTGATGTTAATCGAAGGATCTAAGATCGCTGCTAACCTTGTCCAATCCCCTTTAATCCTGACTGCAATGTTGGAAAAGTAGACTCTGGGGTCTATAAATAGTTATTGATAACATAATATAATCATCATATGAAACAGTCATTTCCATTAACTTTCCTATTCGTCGCAATAATGAATTAACAGAATACTCTAACTAGTATGTCTTTTTTGAAATATATAATTAATTACATGCTTACAGCCCTCCATTCTTAGAAACTATATTAATAGATTTACAAAGTACAATTACGGACCTCTTATGCTATCCATCTTCAGTTAAGATTAAGCTGGTTTGATTTTATACCTGAATTCAGAACATGAGTGAAAGCTAACTGCTATCATTTTAAGACTAAGTAACAAGTAGAAAGTATAAAATGATACTGATATTAATTATTGATACCTTCAGGTGGAATTTTTTTCTCAATTATTTTCTTTTATCTGGATAGTGTAATCGGCTGATTCCTGTCGATTCTAAACTTCGTTAACTTCGACAATTGTTGAAAATCAGTAACAAGGTTACAATACTTATTTCATACTGAATCAGATGATGAAGTAAAAAACAAGGAAATTATTATTTCAAATACCTATCTAACATTACAGTCTTCCTCTACTTAACTGCATTAATAACAAAAAAACGATAGCTATTATAATTATCCATCATCAAATTGGTTTGAAATTCAAGATACAGTTTACAAGTACCGTGGTTTTTCTACCTTTCATCACTAGTAGATTGAGAATTAAAATTTTACAAGACACTTTACAAGATATGTGCAAGATATCAAAAGAGCCAAATAGTTATGATCACAGATTAATGAGGAAATCACGGTACCGAAAGTAAATTGGTGTTGCTTTTTAAAAGTGTAAATGGATGAACGGTACGCTAGTTTTAGACTCCCGATAAATATTAATGTAGTAATAGCATCTAGATTATAATATGAAGAGAACCCTTCCCCTAATTCTTGAAATTACTTATTCTATAAGTGAGTTTTGTGGGGCTTAGAACTATTAGCCAATATTTATTCCATGACAGTGTAAACCTTAATATACTATACTCTACTATTCTATATACAAAAAGTCATGGTCTACCGTCTTTCGCGCCTTCAATGTAACCGTTTTCAAGTACAAAGGAAGACTAATTGAGCAAGTATTGATGGATTATATTATTAAGATAATCTTAAAATTTGTAAACGTAGATAGTCTAGAAGCTATTTTGATTCATTCCTATCCTACGCAACAGGTAATCCTTTTGAGTGCCAGACCTCATGGCTCTAGCACTCAAAAGTCTCTTTCCCTAAGGGAAATCACTGATCAAGTAGGTTAAATCGCCATTCTCCACGAGCGCGATCGTGGAGAATGGCGTGTCTTGAGCCTAAGTTGGAAGTATGGAGTTGGCTGTACTGTACAAGCGTATATTAGCTTATAAGAGAATCTACAAAATACCTGCACAATTCTAACGTATTACCACATAATGTTGCAGGATTACTCCAGAACCTGTTGAATTATGGCGATCATCTGCGCTTACCTGTAGGATATAATCCGCTACTGTTGTGTCGGTGATTTCTTGACTCGCTGATCGAGACTAATTGGAGTGGATGGCAAATGGATGTCGGTACTGATGTCCCCGGTCAGCAAAGCAAACAGGTTAATTAAGCAAAAATGAAAAAGAAAAACTCCACCAAGTCGCCAAACGTACTGGAACACGCCGGCTAATGCCAGCTCATTTGCATGTCAATCGTAAACAGTAGAGTGTACCGTTACAGACATACCATACAGTTGAAATAACTAGTAAAATCATCAGCCTGCATATTATTAGTATGGTGAAGGTAGCTAATCGTGGGCTAGCACTGCTGGAAGAGAACCTTTTCTGAAGTAGTTCTTGGTCTGGGCACCTGCAATTGGTAGCGAAACCGCCGAATTACTGGAAATCAGCGGCTGGTTTGCTCAATTTGTATTTTAATCAAGATAGAAATTATCCTTGTTGTTGTCCGTTAACTGTCCTAAAATTTCAAGATAGTTGTAATCGATATTAAACTGCGATTATGGATAAAGAGCAACGTCAAGCTATCGTCGATCATTGGGATACACTAGCCGAATCGATGCCCAGTAATCATATGACAAATAGTCTAATTGCAAAAAGAATACTCTCGCCGACTGATTTACAGGGAATTAATGCCAAAGAAACTGAAAACGAAAAGAATACTACCATTTTGAATAAAATTTTAGCCTCAGTATCGCCTGATTGCTATGCCATCTTTATTGATGCTTTGAGACAGATTCCTAATAAGAACAGCCGATTAGCAGACATGATTGAAAGCCGTTTTAAGGAACAAGCTTCCGCTGATTATAGAAGCGACGCTAGTAAATCGAACAATTTATCAAGCGCTCGTAAACGACAAACAGTAGGTCAGTTAGGTAAGGAAATGGAGCTGCAATGGCTGTTCTTCTCATTGTAAAGCGATTAAATTACTCAATTAGAGTGTTCATATGAAAGTATAACTTATAAAAATTCGAGCCTAGTCTCATTGCAGGACTAGTTACTATAGATAAGTAGATTAGAACCAGCGCTATTAAAATTGAACATTTCTTAACATCGAACTTAATTTTGGGGTTATACCGTAACCATGGACTACCATTTGTGCATATACACTGTTCTATTTCTTTGACTTACCGGCATCCATTAGGTATAAAATTGATTGATTTCATCGATAAAGATAGTGGTAGTAGGCATTATAACCTGTAATTAACGATTATGAAACAACTGCAATATTTTAAATTAGTTTTAAGGAACAATTTTCGCTTTTCGCTGTATTTACAATCATCAGCACTCTAAATTGGCGAATAGATCGCGTTGAACTTAAGATTCGTAATTCTGCTACGGTTTCAATATAATTTGTTAGTTACTCGGGTAAATGGCACCGTGCATGCAGTAAATATGACTGATCTTTCTAGCTATCCCTAACATACTGTACGGATACGTTAACATTGGGCTATAGTTACTACCTATTTCCGCTAATTAGATTAAAACTCTGCTATAGCTTTAGTAATCAATTGACTTGGAAAAATAATGTAATCGAGTGCTGCTATCAATTTTAAAACTTTAAAACATGTATCAGAAGCATAAGTTTACATCAAATAGATTTTGCGCTATTTTTGTTTATCATTACCTCTTAATAAGTATGAAAATTCCTAGCGCTTGCGCGAGTAACAGGAAATTAATCATAAATGAATAAGATTATCCTCAAACAATTACGCACCCCCGACTACCCACACCTATAGTATAACGCGCTTATCTTAAATACGATCGCAAGTAAGCGCATATATTTCAAAATAATACAGCTCTACAGCACCAACACCGATAAAATCGGGCTATATTAGCTCAGAAATGATTTTAGTTTTCTTTCGTATGCATTCAATGTGCCTTCATACCGCTGAATTAATGAACTTGGGTTTATTTTACAAGAATCTGAAACTAGTCGACAGGAAGGAACAGCAATGCAAAACGATATGGATCCAATACGAGATGGTAAGTTAGTAATGGTCGTCTATTCATCGTAATTAGTTTTCTTGCATACTTATACGATTTGGTTATGCCACTTACTGACGTAAGACTAAAATTTGTGTGGTAGTCTAATATTAGCTTAGACGACATGAAAATAAATAAATCAATTAAGCTTATAGATTGTATTGTTTGATCGAAGTAACTAATGAATTAACTATTTGATTGAGTAAATTTAGAAAATAGACCGGTAACTAATTTTATAGAGGAAGTATTTAGCATTACAGCTTTTACCAAACTAATCTGCTAATAATGCTACCTTTACTGTAGTTAAACATTAAGTTGCTTTTCTGGAAGTTAAACAGATTATATTGCTGATTTTCTAGCAATTATGATACTATGTAATAGTAAAATCAGCTGACGGATGAAGAAAAAATTTTCGATAACATTAGGAAAGGAGAACTAAGAACGATAATAACAGCGATTGTAGCCGCTTAAATACGTTACCTAACTTGTTTATAACTTGAAGATTGCAAAGAACATCACTAAACACCTACAGAACTTAATACGAGAGAAAAATTCTATGATTAGTATTACCTATTACAAGCTGAAATTTATATACTTGAATCATTACAAGCATCACTTTAACTTATATAATCTATTATAAATATTGTCAATAGTCCTAAACTTCGGTATTATTTTTAAGTCATATCTAATTTACTTCTACTTAAGATGTTGACAACAATAACTTATCTAACATCTCCAATTCACGTTAACTCTACAGTAGATATCGCAGTGCTTAAAGAGTATGGTGTGATTTAAGTATGATTCTATACATGTGTCGGTAATACAGTTTCGCATGTAATGGCCCAAATACGATACTTAGGAAAGTATATAAATTATAATTATTAGTATTACTAATTGTAAGATACATACTGTACTCGTACATATCAAAACTGCACTGTATAAGAGAGCTTACAATTTACAAGGCGATCTCAGGTTTGTTGCAAGTGATCGTCCAAAGTCTTAACTTCTTGCAACAACTCCCACATCATGTTGCAATTTTATTGTAATCTCATAAGTACTAAATATAGGAATCTGTCATACGAAACGTTACAAATCTAACCAACTAAGTAACTATGGAAGGCATTATATCAATCCTGATCGCTCTGACGTCTTTTCTAGTTACTAGACTTTAAGAAAAACTGAAAATTAATCTTGAAACATTATCAAACATTTTTGTATAGTAACTAGGACAGTTTTTCGTCGATAACGTAAACAAATTATATTTCATTGCAGACGCTATACAATATAGCATTTTACATTACTGGAGTGTTGTTAATAAGCCCTTTATAAAGGATAGCGTTTTACTACGAAATCTGAATTGTAATCTAGAAATGCTGTCTAGCTCTCTTTCCTTAGAACTCGTAGGTAATTGCTAACATTTTTTGCCTATCCACGAATTTGTGATACAAGATTTGTTGATTATGGTGTAATTAGTTCATGAAGAACTGATTAGACGTCAGAGTGTACACGATCTCAATATCTCACACCATCTTAGTAAAAAGAACACGACCAACTTTTCTATAGCAATTTACATAAAACTTTTCTGTAGTAGACGATATGAAAACTTGTTAAAACAATAGCGATGTGTCGTTTCGACAAGGTAAATTAAAAATTAGTATCACTTTCTATGCTGTTATACTAGTATGTTGTCAATGAATTATGTTTCTACTATAATTATAACATGTTTAAGTAGGACAAAAGGCTATAATTTTATGATTATCATATTGTGTAAGAGTTACAATTATTTAGATTATTCATAATTTAGTACTTAAAGTAATCGGTAATACGTAATTTAACATGTATATAAATACTGAATTGAATTTGACATTAACCAGTACGTATTGAATTAAATTATCAAGCTAAGAGCTTTTGTGATTGATTTATGTTTATTACATTGAAATATGATTTTTGATATTGCCTGCTATAATCATTTAAAACTTAGCCGCTACTTAATCATTACATCCTAAATTTGTAATCAATTTGATATCACTATAAATCTATCTCTCTGATAAATATTCTCTTTGTAAGTAGCTACGTAGTAACTAAACTACCAGTTGTATCTGTTATTTAGGTCGAAAACCGAAAAACTCTGAAGATATTAAAAAAGACACAGGTAATTACAACTATAGGCACATTTTAATGCTATTATGGGTTCATCACAATTTTAAGAATATTAGTTATCCGTCTATGGTCGTTAAAATTTAATTATTATTAGGATTTGTCAAACTTTACTTAAAGTTATGTTTATGCAAGATATTTAGCTGTACAGATACTGTAACATGAAATGAATACATTCCAGCTAGTGATTGTAACTTATAGTAATTAGGTAATAGAGTCACAACGTACATAAAACTATCACAAATTAAACTTCACTGCGTGGTGATGACTATTATTGTATTATCAATGCAGCTTTTCACTTAGTATATAAGATCAAATCTTACCGATACATAAATTTTCATATAAGTCAAACACAATAACATTTCACTTACAAATAATCAAAGCTGAATTGACGCCTTTTGAGTAAGCATAATCGATTAATTAGTTGTTTTTAATAATTAGTGTTGCTTACAAATGTTTCCTAGATCATTTTATGTTATTTTTCTAAAAGTAAGTCTCATAATAACATATTAAGTTACAAGGCATAAATTTACATCTAAGAGCGTCACTGCGTTGTGACACAAGTATATGAGGAAAAGCAATCGATTAATTACTCGGTTTCTTGGTAATCTACATGCTATTTTTCATTTTTGTCTTCAGTAAGGCTCAATAATGGGTAGTGTAAAGATCGTCTTAGATTCGTATTCCATACATGCAAATGTAATAGAACCTGTTCTACTAACTGCATATAGATCGCAAGGAATAAAAAGAATTTTATAATATCAATAGTTGGTAATTTCAGATTATTACGTACATTTTTCGTAATTTAATAAGTACAGCTTTTTTCGAAACTTGAGCTCTAAAGGGTACGATGCGCTTACTGAATAGAAATTGCTATCGTTCATTTTCCAATTAATTTATCGGGCAAAGAATTGTCTTTGCTAATATCGATATCACATTGCACAATTACGACATTTATTTAAAACGTAATTTAATTACATTACTTCGCAGTATATGATAAATTCGATAAGATGTCATTTCTTTGCTTAACCTTTTATTTGTGAGCAGCCATTAATAATCATTAATTTAACAATTGTGAATCTTATTCAAATCTAAAAGGGGTTGATTCTGAAGACACTCGAAAAGACACAGGTACTTCTATTTAAAGAAACAATTTGATATATTCCGGAATTCTTTGTAATTTTATTAACAATTTTTATTGAATATAACAGGCGGGATATTTTACGAATTAAAGCAATATTTGAAAAGGGTTGTTCTTTATTTTGTTCTACCATTTATAATATTAGTTAACCTAATTTATCTCTATTTACGTTACAAGTGGTAATAAAGTATCCGCAGCTAAAATTTTTTGAATCTCTAAGATGCGCATTAAATGGTGTATATTATCTTATATGACATGAAAGTCACATTAGGAAACTTTAGTTAGGAAATAGAAAATAAGATGAAAATTGGCAGAGGTTGTGTTCATTGTTAGGTAGTTAGACTATTATTTTTATGACTAAATCTTGATGTTTAAAGGTTACTCTTTAGACTTTTATAATGTATTGATGATAGAAATTACGTTAGAAGTGAAGTTTGATGTATTTTATAGTTAACTTGTTGGTTTTATAATGTTTTGTAAGGGAATCATAGGGTAAATTGTGTCTGATCTTTGAATGATTTTTGTTTTCTTAAATTGTGCAAAGTAGTTTTCTAAAATGGATCTTGAGAGTAATTGGTTAGTAAATGTTTAGTTTTGCATACCTGTGACAGCTCTGCGAAGCCTATAAATGATAGCGCTATTAGAAAATTTAGAAGGCGAGTAGAAGAAGATTGTTTTGAAGAACTTGTTGAATTTAAAAGGCATTCTGGGTCGAATTGTCGTAAGTTAAAACGTGCTACTTTTTGAAAGGTTGTTTGGCTGTTGACAGTTTTAAGTTTGTCACTTATTTTATTAATACTTAAAGTTAAATATTTGTAAGGTTGTTCGGTTGATACTTCTCTCCATTTTTTTTTGTGTAATAAATTGTTCGATTATTTCCCCAAGTTCTATTTGGTGTGAAAGTTTCGTCAAGTCGACCGGAGTGTAATGAAAGTAGAATCAATGTTTGTTAAAGTTTTGTAGCTTGATCTCTACACTTTTCATTTCATTACACAGGTATATTACAAGATAATAAATGATTTATAAGCTATTGCTAGTAATATGGAATATGTGTATCAAATGACTAAACTTGATAAATTTAACAGTTACACGAGTGCATAATGATCACAATTCATTACTTACAGTAGAAATCACTGAAGTTATAATATGCTAGAATGAATCATATATTGTACTGTTGCTATGATCTTACAGATTGCATCGACATGCGACAAGTGGCTATAAAGCATCCGCAGCTAAAATTTTTAGAATCTCTAAGATGTACTTTAAATGGTGTATATTATCTTACATTGACTACAGTATTTTAAAATCGGATTTGAGACCTTTAATAAAAGATTTCTAGCATTTATCCATCCTTCATGACCATCTCCGTGTAGATTGTTACATGAAATGTTCTTTTCAGCTTAAGCCCATTCGTGATTCGTCGATCCTAACGAAACAAATTACCGCTTGTGATTCCATTCTTTAATTGCTCTTTGTGATGTGTCTACTTAAAAAATTGATTTGAAGCCAGATGTTTGTGAAAGTAATAATATCGAATCGTCTTATAAGCAAGCCGTGTATCCTTTACATAAATGGGATGAAAATTAAAAAAAATAAAGGTCCAGTGTAGCTTTAGCTATTTCCTGTTGACAGTTTCAAATAGAACTATAAATATGCTTGAAAATGGATGCAATTAAACGGTAATAAATTGTGAGCAATTTAATCCAATCTTTTACCAAGAAGGCACTCGATGCAGTAAACTACGGATATTGGCGATAAATAAATTCCGAAATTATTCAAATATGTCAGAAAGCTGATCATAAAAGCTTAAAGATAAGCTTATAATTATATAATCAATGATCGTATTTTCACTCTTCCATATGATTGTTGCAATAACTATAACGAGATTATTTCTGCTATTTAAGTGATCCTGCAAGCAATGTTTTGTTGGTGATTTGAAAAGTATCGTAGCTCCAGCATTACTGGAAGGTGTTGGCCATTGCCTTGCTATGGAGCTACATATTTCCATATTTCGTAGAGTCTACGCCACGATCACATGATTGAATTTATATTACCTAGGTTAAGGTTCTAATGATTTGAGATACTTGATGGAATAGTTTACCAATCGTAGGGTAGGACTACAGTACTTTAACAGAACCTTTCCTTGAGTAGTCCTAGGTCTGGACAAGGACTACTAAAAAGAAAGAGACGAGACAGGAAACGACCACGTAGTAAAATAATGTGGAGACTTATCATTTTTTTCGTCATTATACTATACGCTACCGATGAAGCCGTATACCATAGTGTAGTAGTTTCAGCTATTTACAGTAGTAATTGAAGTAAGGTAGTATTAATAAGTAGAATAGTCTACTATACTTATACTCTTGTGTCGCGTTATTAGAGATTTGTTAAATTTCAATGTCTCAAATTTTTGAGTTCGACGACTGCAAACCTAAGGGGTTGTAAAACTTAAGCACTACATATAGTGAACAAAACCAACTTAGCAGGCTAATAGCTGCTAATTTGCATACCAATCGCAGACAATATAGTGTAACGCTACACACGTGCGATACACTTAAAATAACTATTAAAATAATGTCCCATCTCTTTCTTTTAATAGTCTTAAGTCTGGGCCAGGGTTCAACATTCGGTTCGATTCGCCTAATTCGACATTCAGTACTATTCGATCCGATTCGAGAGTTTGCACACAGTCTAGGTCCCTGATTTCGGTATCGAAACGGCCGAGTAACAGGAAATCATCGGCTGATTTGCTCAATTTGTATTTTAATCAAGATAGAAATTATCCTTGTTGTTGTCCGTTAATTGTTCTAAAATCTCAAGACAGTTGTAATCGATATTAAACTGCGATTATGGATAAAGAGCAACGTCAAGCTATCGTCGATCATTGGGATAAACTAGCCGAATCGATGCCCAGTAATCATATGACAAATAGACTAATTGCAGAAGGAGTACTTTCGCCGACTGATTTACAGGGAATTAATGCCAAGGAAACTGAAAACGAAAAGAATACTACCATTTTGAATAAAATTTTAGCCTCAGTATCGCCTGATTGCTATGCCATCTTTATTGATGCTTTGAGACAGATTCCTAATAAGAACAGCCGATTAGCAGACATGATTGAAAGCCGTTTTAAGGAACAAGCTTCCGCTGATTATAGAAGCGACGCTAGTAAATCGAACAATTTATCAAGCGCTCGTAAACGACAAACAGTAGGTCAGTTAGGTAAGGAAATGGAGCTGCAATGGCTGTTCTTCTCATTGTAAAGCGATTAAATTACTCAATTAGTGTGTTCATATGAAAGTATAACTTATAAAAATTCGAGCCTAGTCTCATTGCAGGACTAGTTACTATAGATAAGTAGATTAGAACCAGCGCTATTAAAATTGAACATTTCTTAACATCGAACTTAATTTTGGGGTTATACCGTAACCATGGACTACCATTTGTGCATATACACTGTTCTATTTGTTTGACTTACCGGCATCCATTAGGTATAAAATTGATTGATTTCATCGATAAAGATAGTGGTAGTAGGCATTATAACCTGTAATTAACGATTATGAAACAACTGCAATATTTTAAATTAGTTTTAAGGAACAATTTTCGCTTTTCGCTGTATTTACAATTATCAGCACTCTACATTGGCGAATAGATCGCGTTGAACTTAAGATTCGTAATTCTGCTACAGTTTCAATATAATTTGTTACTCGTATAAATAGCACCGTGCATGCAGTAAATATGATTGATCTTTCTAAATATTCTAAATTGTCACAAACCAGCTTCGTGACAAGGATAACGTAAAACAAATCTCTAAATTACTATAATCTCCTGGATTCAGTATCCCTTAACTATCTCACAAGAATTTAGACACCTTTGATTCTACGTTAAACTCAACTAGACAAATTGAGAACTACTTGTCATGGTGCGCCGTTACTAATTAAGTAACTGTTGATTAATGAATGCTTATGAATAGATAAGATAAGGTTATGTGCTATGTTTAATGCGCTTATAGCTGATAATAGGATATTAGAAATGAGATAAAAATAGAAGTTGTTAACAGTTAATTTACTGTAGGTTTATAAGTTGTGTTAATCTCTAAAAATTGAGCCGTACATGGACGATGGTTAAGCGTCTTAACACCTGATAGCTTGTAGCTATCTAAGTCTGAGAATATCGACATGTATATTTAGTAATGGTATTATACTAATTAATGTAACTTGTAAAGTATGAATTCTCACTCGTTAATATTGGAATTCACTGTAGAAACCTATTTAAGCGCGTGTGTTTGTAGAATAAAGTAAGTAATTGCTCATGAAACGGCAAGACTCATATCGTGAAGAATAGTGTAACAATTAGTCAGTTGTCTGTGGAGATCAGCCGAGAAATCGAGTTCTCAAATACTTCTCTCATAGAAACTGAAAGTACTGGGAGAAATAGCCCAAGTTTTAAGTAACTACACTAGAGTTCTTTACTTTCCTTTGACACAAGTGAGGGTTGTGACACTACTTTATTCAACTATCTGACGGGCTTATATACCCTTCTACAGCAGCTAACATTCACGAGTTATCTTATAAAAATACTTAGGTGAGAACATCTACCTAACTAATTTTTCACAGTCAGACTACAATATGTCCATTCACAGAATCATTTCAGTGCACATTACAGCACAGCATTAAATTTACTGAAACACATTTATAATTAGAGTAATTCCTATTGTAAGTAACTAGTTGTAATATAATATCACTATATTATATTAACCAAATTTAGATATCTATTTCTTCACGGTAGTTCGTACCATGACACCAATATACTGTACGGATACGTTAATATTGAGCTATAGTTACTACCTATTTCCGCTAATTAGATTAAAACTCTGCTATAGTTTTATTAATCAGTTGACTTGAAAAAATAATGTATTCGAAGGCTGCTATCAATTTTAAAACTTTTAAACACGTATCAGAAGCATCAGTTTACATCAATTATATTTTGCGCCATGTTTGTTAACCATTACCTCTTAATAAATACGAAAAAATCTAGCATTTGCGCGGGTAATAGGAAAGTAATCATAAATAAATAAGATTATCCCCAAATAATTACGCATCCTCGACTACCCACACCTACAGTATGAAGCACTTATCTTAAATACGATCGCAAGTAAGCTCATATATTTCGAAATAAAACAGCTCTACAGCACCAACACCGATAAAATCGGGCTATATTAGCTCAGAAATGATTTTAGTTTTCTTTCGTATGCATTCAATGTGCCTTTATATCGCCTAATTAATGAACTTGAATTTATTTCACAAGAATCTGAAACTAGTCGACAGAAAAGAACAGCAATGCAAAATGCTATGGATCCAATACGAGATGGTAAGTTAGTAATGGTCGTCTATTTATCGTATTTAGTTTCCTTGCATGCATATACGATTAGGTTATGCCACTTATTAGCATAAGACTAAAATGCGTATGTTAGTTTAATATTAACTTAAACGACATAAAATGAAATAGTTCAATGCAAGCAATATTTTGTACTTCAAATTGGCATGTTACGGAGGTTGAGAGTTCGGCATTAGTCGCAATAAAGTATAATAGAATAGCTAACGGAAGAGCAATCTTTTTTGAGCTAGTGTAAGAGAATAATCGTGTAACATTATCGGGTGAGTAATGACGTGATTAGTCGAATAACTATAGTAGTGTAGAATAGATAAAGCGTGCAAGCATACTGTGTAACTACCAGAACTAACTAACGAAATTGGTGAAAAAAGAATAGCTTTTATAATGTAAGGAGTACAGCAGGAGGAAATTATTTATAAGCGCGAATGATTCATGAAAATAGGTTACTTCTATTTTAAGCTAGTGCTACGGTATAGTTTAGCTAGAGTACAAGATATTTCTACAGAGTAAATTGTTAAATATAGATCATACATATTTAGAGTTATGTTACAGTGTAGTGAAAAGTAATTCTTTTACTAAAATTTGACTATACTGCTTTTAGAAGTAAACACTGCACAAATTATATAAAGATATTAATGCATTTTGTTAGGAATTTTAGGAGCGTCAATGAATTAATTACAACATCTAAAATATTATCAATATTCTTCAATTATTTGATATCATTTAGATCTTAAAAGGCGTGATAGCTTTATGTATATCGCTAATAACATAAAGTCAATCAAAGTAATCGAATTTGGTCGAAAGTTGCGATTATCTGAAAATGATGTTGACGATATAGTCAATTCGAATCGTAGCAGATTTGATAAGTTTATGAATCTGTTGGAGGAATGGCACTCTCAATTTGTCTCTACAGCAACGTTTGATAAATTATTAGATACTTTGCGTTCTTGCAATGAAGTAGTAGTAGCTGAGAAGTTGAAAAAGAAATACTCTATATCAAGCAACAGTGGAGGTAAGATACGATTTACGAGTACTGAATTGTATTCTAGGATAATGATCCACAATATCTAAGCCTAACATTTTCAATATGCAAGACGTATATAAGTATTACATGATACAACTACGTCCTACCTTGCACTCGCTTTTTAGTCGCATTAATACCACACATACGAATCTGATATTTCAAATAATGATTGAATTTAGCTAAAATCGATTGTTACGCATTCTAGAAAACATGAAGTTAGGTAGCCAATGTGCTGCTGTAGATAATTCGACATAGAATATAAGCTTTACAAATAAATAAATGAACTAAGCTTATAGATTGTATTGTTTAATCGCAGGAATTAATAAATTAACTATTTGATTGAGTAAATTTAGAAAATATACCGGTAACTAATTTTATAGATGAAGTATTTTAGCATTACAGTTTTTATCAAACTAATCTACTAATAATGCTATCTTTAGTGTAGTTAAACATTAATTTTCTAGGACAAAAGGTTATAATTTATGTTTATCATGTTGTGTAAGAGTTACAATTATTTAGATTATTCATAATTCAGTAGTTAAGGTAATCGGTATTACGTAATTTAACATGTATATAAATACTAAATTGAATTTGACATTAACCAGTACGTATTGAATTAACTCATCAAGCTAAGAACTTTTGTGATTAATTTATGTTTATTACATTGAAATTTGATTTTTGATATTGCCTGCTATAATCAGCTAAAACTTTACCGCTACTTAATCATTACATCCTAAATTTGTAATCAATTTGATATCACTATAAATCTATCTCTCTGATAAATATTCTCTTTGTAAGTAACTACGTAGTAACTAAATTGCCAGTTTTATCTGTTATTTAGATCAAAAACCGAAAAACTCTGAAGATATTAAAAAAGACACAGGTAATTACAACTATAGACACATTTTAATGCTATTATGGGTTCATCGCAATTTCAAGAATATTAGTTATCCTTCCATGGTCGTTAAAATTTAATTGTTATAAGGATTTGTCAAACTTTACTTAAAGTTATGTTTATACAAGATATTTAGCTGTACAGATCCTGTAACATGAGATGAACACGTTCCAGCTAGTGATTGTAACTTATAGTAATTAGGTAATAGAGTCACAACGTACATAAAACTATCACAAATTAAACTTCACTGCACGGTGATGACTATTATTGTATTATCAATGTAGCTTTTCACTTAGTATATAAGATCAAGTGTTATCGATACGTAAATTTTCATATAAGTCAAACACAATAACATTTCACCTACAAATAATCAAAACTGAATTTGCCGATTTAGAGCAAGAATTACGTAAATTCAGACTGCGAAATAAGTGCATAATAATGACCAATCGATTAATTACTCAGCTTTTTAGTAGTCTGTGTGCTAGTTGACATTTTGCCTAAAGTAATGCTCAACAAAGAGTAATTTAATATTCGAATCTAATTGTTAAGATAGTAGAGTAATTGCAAAGAAGAGCGAGTACCGCTCTTTCATTGACAACTTCCAGAGTCAGTAAGAGAATTTAAATCTTTATAAGATTTGGTTAAATCATTTACGAAATACAAAATCGTAACAACTAGATATACGAAGAATACACTACATCGTAACTAGTGATTATGATTGGTTAAAGGCGTTTACACTTCATCCTAGATAACCCTAAAATCGATAGCCAACGGACTACGCTAGTCTCTTTGACTACGTATACAAATACTACAATTAATAGCTCAGTTAAGCCTGCAGTGACTACTAATATTCGAGGTAACTAGCATATTATTTTTATACTTAAGCTAACTTAGGGCCCTTGTTAATTTATAATTTGATTATTTAATTACCGAGAGTAATGAAACTTAACCATTTTACCAATATCCCTCAAAATTACTTTTTACGAAATTTACGGTCTACCTATAACAAAGTTGTCTTTAATTTTGGAAGAAACTTCGCACTAGAAGTTATCATAGCTAAACTAAAATAAATTACGATTAATTAATTGATGTTCTATCTTACTTGAAATTATCCCTTTAGTAAGATTAGATTTGCTGTAAGTAAATAGCTGCTGCCGCTAACTGGAGTTATATCGTAACTATAGACTGCCGTTTGTGCATACTGTATACACTGTTTTAGTTGTTTGACTCATCGATATCTCTTAGGTATAAAATTTATTGATGAAATCAATAAATACAGTGATAGTAGGGATTGCAACCGATAATTAACGATTATGAAACAACCTTAATATTTTAAATCATTTTTAAGGAACTATTTTAGCGTATCGCTGTATTTATAATCATCAGCAGTCTAAATTGGTGAATGAATCGCGTTGAACTTAAAATTCTTAATTCTACTATCTTTACAATATAATTTGTTAGTTACTCGTGTAAATGGCACCATGTATGCAGTAAATATGACTGAGCTTTCTCCCTATCTCCAATACACTGTACTAATACATCAACATTGGGCTATAGTTATTGCATATTTCCGTGAATTAGATTAAAACTTTGCTATTGCTTTATTAATTGATTGATTTGAAAAAATAATGTAATCGAAGGTTACTATAAATTTTAAAACTTTCTAACATGTTTCAGAAGCATCAGTTTACATCAAATGTATTTTGCGCTATTTTTCTTAATCTTTACCTTTTAATAAGCAGGAAAGATTTTTAGCATTTTCGTGAGTTATAGCAAAATAATTATTAATGAATAAGATACTAATTTTTCGACACAGATTATCCCAAAATAATTACGCATCCCCGACCACCTATCCCTACTAGGTCTATACAGTACGTAACCTTTAATGCTCACCACTACTGAAGTTTTCCATTGTTATTTCCCAATATGTTAAAGCATTAAAAAACTCATCAAAGGCTCTATCGCCAATCTAAGGCAAAACATCCAATAAATCGTAAACTTTTCTATAAAACAAAATTAAATAATTACGATAACTGCTCTCCGACTACCAAATTTATTCTTGCAGTAAATAAATAAACTACTAATTTAGCTTGCCATCGCATATTAGAATAGAATATTGTTTAACAGTTACTGAACATGTACTATATAAAAACTCCTTACTCAAAAGCCATCGATTTAGATTTGATTGTTTGTTTGTGGTATGACATTAATATATTCGCTCCTAGTAAATATTCACATATTGGTGAGATTTGATGGTAACATTTTTGAGCAAGTAACATACGACTGGCTCTTAGGATTTTACGATATTCTTGAGTCACTGATCCTGAGGACGTTTTGGGTGGCTTATCTAAAATATTAAATAGATTTTTAAGTTCGAGAAAAGCTACAGTTCTGATAGAAGCTGTATCTGTTTCTCTTTGCGCTAATTCGAATTACAAACGGTTGTATTTAAGATAAACCCTTTATACTCCGAATAAAGCTCAACCAGGTGATCCATGATAATCCCATTTTCTGGTAGAAATAACAATAAAGCGATTAGAGTAGAGAATAGTACGATAACTACATAATGAATCTAGATTTTCAATTCATAGTTTTATTATACTCAACTAAATCAATAGTTGGTAATTTCAGATTATCATGTAAAACGAATAGCTCTAAGGTAGTAATTTCTACAGAGTACTGATTTTTGAAATAGCATTCGTTATATCGCTAAGGGTGGCCACTAGGCTTTTCAATTTTGATTGATATAAAACTGTGATGAAAATTGAATTAACATAGAATCTTTATAGAGTTTTCTACACAGCCATTTTGATTGTTACATTTTCTTATAACGGTTGTTATTGACAGAGCAAGCTTTGCTTGCATACGCTAGCGATCCTTAGACACATTATAATGATTGGTATAGAATTGATCACAGTACTAAGGACATTGTAACGCACTGTAGATATTTTACAGTACCAGCTAATCTTAACTTGGTATGTCCATCACTGTACTGTACAATAATTATCATAATGTACTTTGGATTATTAACTAATCTTAATATAGCATAGTACATTACTATTACCGGGATATATATAATATCGAATGATAATCCCACCCATCCTCCCTTGAAATGAGCAGCGTGGGGGTATTTATACTACTGTTAAATGACTCTGATTATGGGTTCATTTCAATAGGTCAGTATAAGATTCTTACAGTACTTTTAACCTAAAGATTTCTTCATGTAAAACGAATAGCTCTAAGGTAGTAATTTCTGCAGAGTACTTATTATTAAAATAGTATTCGTTATATCGCTAAGGGTGGCCACTGGGCCTTTAAATTTTGATTTCATGTAATATTCTGATGAAAATTGAATAAACATAGAATCTTTATAGAGTTTTCTATACAGCCATTTTGATTGTTACATTTTCTTATAACGGTTGTTATCGACAGAGCAAGCTTTGCTTGCATACGACAGCGATCCTTAGACACATA